GTGTATTTTTTGTCAATGAGTATTTGTAGAAACCTTCTGTTAACAATTTCTACTTGTAAAATAACATATTCATTGTAGAATATGTGAAAAAAACTTGAATATTTTGTTTAAAATATCACCTAGCATTATGTTAACAACACTGGGTACTTTAAAAAAAATTCTAAGTAAGAAAAACACTGAAGTCTGAAAAATGACAGTGTGATTTAAGAGAGAATTCTATTCCATCTGATATGATTTAAATCAGAATTCTGTTTTTGGTTTTTGTGTGAGAGTGCAGTTATGTGTCACTTGATGGGATGTGTTCTGAGAAATGCATCTTTAGGCCGTTTAATCATTGTGTGAACCTCATAGAGTACACTTACACAAACGTGGATGACAGAGTCTACTACACACCTAGCCTATATGTGTGTAGGCTTAATAACATAGATATTAAGGCCTCTGACCTGTGTATAAGAAGATGGCAGGAATCTTGGTCAGTTGTGGTAAACTTGGCTAAACAAAATTGTTCATTTGCTAGAGCAATGCAGGGGAAATTTATATATATATATATATATATATATATATATGTATATATTTAATTTTTTCTGGTAACTTACTAGTCAAATAGCAATAACACTGATATCATTAAGAGTGTCCTTTTGGGGCCGGCCCTGTGGCCGAGTGGTTAAGTTCGCGTGCTCCACTTTGGCGGCCCAGGGTTTTGTCAGTTTGGATCCTGGGCGTTGACATAGCACCGCTCATCAGGCCACACTGAGGTGGCGTCCCACATAGCATCACCAGAGGCACTCACAACTAGACTCTACAACTGTGTACTGGAGGGCTTTCGGGAGAAGAATAAAAAAAAAAAGATTGGCAACAGTTGTTAGCTCAGGTGCCAATCTTTAAAAAATAAAAAAGAGTGTCCTTTTTTAACAAAGATAGTCCTTTTAAAAATGACATAGCATGGGACAAATTTTCCTGTAGTGCTAATGGATGTACTCTGACCCATCCATCATCTCACCCTCCTTGTGGTCTGTGATGTTTATTTGTAGGTTGGACTAGGTTGCTATTGGTGGCTGTTGAACGGAACTTCAAGCTACCTGACCCACGTGGCAACAGAACCCAGGTCCTTGTCCTCATTATCCCAGTTCTCAAACAAGCCCAACAAGCTTGCTGTGGTTAAATATAAACCAAGTCAACAAATATTTGTTGCCTGTTATGGTCATAAGTTCTTTCCAACTTCCAAAATCAACTGACAGCATGTTAGCCTAATAGAAAGATAGAGTTAATAAAGGATAGTCCTGTGTGCTAGTATTTAGGTAGCAATAATGAGCTGTGAAGTTTTAAAGGACAGCTGTAAAGGAACTCGGTACAGCATGTGCTAGGGTTAAAGTTGACTCTGGAATTTGTTTCACTGCTTTGTAATAAATAAATAGCTGAGGAAAGATTTGGTGAAAAAAAGAACTACTCCTCCTTGTCCTCATTCTCTCAGGAAAACGTCTCCTGTTAACAAGTTATTTGAATGTTGACTTTGCCCTGACTGCCTACCGGTGGTGTGTCAGTTCTTACCCTTGAACCAAGTGAGAATTCAAATAAACCAAAAAGAGTTTTCACACAGCTGGCCTATTCTGCCAATGAGTGGTACCAAAATATCCTCTCCCACTTTTTCAAAGAGGTCAGCAAGAAAAAATTTAAAAGGCAGTCCATGAACTGATAGTCTGTGATCTAGATAAACTTGAGTTTGCAGCTTGTAGATTTTGGAGTACCCGGCATAGAGATGTGAGCAGACCTTGGGAGATATTATTGGTTTTATTAAAAGCGTACCTAAGGTGCCTGCTTTGTATTACTCAATTTTATCAATGGTTAGAATTCACCTTGCTTTGCATAAAAGAATTTGCATGTAAAATTCTCATTTCTAAACTGTCAGTAACGTAACTCTGTCATTACATTTTGTTGTATTCAATAGTCATGGACTTTATGTCCAGCCCTGGCCAAACAGGAACGTGAGGGAGAATGTGCAGACATAACCACCCCTCTGGATCCCTTGCCTAGCATCGTGCCTGGCATAGAGTAGGCACTTACTATATTTTTGCTGATTTTTAAAATCATATATATGAATGAAGGAGTAAACAATATATCTGGAATATGCTGAATTCAGATGAGATGACAGTTCTCTTTAAATAGCACTCTTTAAGGTACTTCTGGGAATTGCATCGTGTTAAGGTATTTCTTTCATTTTAGGAACCGTCTGTTAAGTGCCTGTTTTCTGCTAGGCGTTAGAATTTACAAAGTTGAATATGAAGCCATTCTTGCCTTCAAAGAGGACATAGTTACGTAACCAGATAAACTGCAGAACAGAGTGGAGAGTGCAGTGGTCGGTGGGTGTCCCAGGTGTAGAGGTGGCATAGAGAAGGGAGAATGAGCCTTATCTGGGGGATGGCATGGGCCATCTAAGCAGAGTGCATGAACTTAACTACTACCAGGCTGGCCCCTTGTGAAACGTTTAGTTTTGCTAAATGTGGTATCCTATCTCTATATTAAAAAACCCCACAAAAACAAACCTTCACTTGATTGCCATCCATCTCCAGCACTCCTCCCTATTTTCCTTTTATACAAAATCCTTGAAGGGGTTTTCTGTGCCTGCTCTCTTATCTCCTCCTTTCCCATTCTACCATGAACTGAGCATCAGACTTGTCCCTTCTCCATTGAAACCGCTCTTGTCAATGTCATCAGCCATCTCCATCATGCCTCTCCCACGGTGTCTCATCTTATTCTACTCAGCAGTGTTTGGGACAGTTGATCACTCTATTCTTCTAGAAATATTTTTTATTTTTCTACCTGGATATAACATTCTCCTAGATTTCTTACTATTTCATTGACTACTTTTTCTTACTCTTCATTGCTGCTTCCTTCTCCTCTGTTCAGTCTGAAGGTTAGGGTAACCCACGGCTCCTAGCTGGTCTCTCCTCTCCTCTTTCTACCTATGTTCCTTAGAGTGCATCTAGGCGCCTAGGTGTTAGTAGGTCTAACATCTGCATCTCCAGCTCTGACTTCTCCCCACAGCTCCAGACTCCTAGATGGCTGTTGACCTGACAGTAGTCCTCGGATGCCTGATAGATACCTCAGACTCACCTTGGTCAAAACAGAGCTCAGACTAAGCCCCTCTTCAGTCTGCCTCCTCCTCTCCAGTCTTCCCCATTTCGGTCAACAGGGCTATTATTTATTCTGTTACACCAAAAGCTAAGAGTTATCCTTGACACATCTTTATCTCACACTCTGTATCCAAGCCTTCAGCAAATTCTGTTGGTTCCACCTTTAGAGTATATTCTGAATCCAGTTACTTTCACCACGTCCTGGTCTAACCCACCACATGCTCTGCTCTCTCCCGAGCGATTCCATTACCTCCTACTTCATCTCCCTCTTCCTTTCCTGCCCCACTTCAGTGTAGTCTCCAGGGATCTTTTTAAATTTTTTCTCTCGTCATTCTTTTTTTCTTTCTTTCTTTTTATTGAGGTCATAATAGTTTATAGCATTGTGAAACTTCTGTTGTACATTATTATTTGTCAGTCACCATATAAATGTGCCCATTTACCCCTTATGCCTACCCCCAACCCCATTCCCCTCTGATAACCACTAAACTGCTCTCTTTGTCTATGCGTTAGTTTATCTTCCACATGTGAGTGAAATCATACAGTGTTTGTTTTTCTCTGTCTGGCTTATTTTGCTTAACATAATATCCTCAAGGTCCATTCATGTTGTTGTGAATAGGATGATCTTGTCTTTTTTTATGGCTGAGTAGCATTCCATTGTATATATATATACCACATTCTCTTTATCCATTCTTCAGTCAGTGGGCACTTGGGTTGCTTCCACTTCATGGCTATTGTGAATAATGGTGCAGTGAACATAGGGGTGCATAAATCTCTTTGAACTGTTGATTTCAAGCGGATAAATACCCAGTAGTGGGATAGCTGGGTCGTATGGTATTTCTATTTTTAATTTTTTGAGAAATCTCCATACTGTTTTCCATAGTGGCTGCACCAGTTTGCATTCCCACCAGCAGTGGGTGAGAGTTCCCTTTTCTCCACACCCTCTCCAACATTTGTTGTTTTTTCTCTTGGTGATTATAGCCATTTTAACAGGTATAAGGTGCTATCTCAGCATAGTTTTAATTTGTGTTTCCCTGGTGCTTAGTGATGTTGAGCATCTTTTCATGTGCCTATTAGCCATCTATGTATCTTCTTTGGAAAAATGTCAGTTCATTCCAGGGATCTTTTTAGAGCACGAATGAGATCACATCACTGCTGTTCTCTAAGTCCTCTAAGTGCTGGCCGTCACATTTGGAATAAATTCCAAAATCTTTACCATGGCTTTTGAAGCCAGAGAGGATCTGGCCCAGCCATCTTCTGTGCTCTTTTCCTGGCTCATCCCACTCCCACCGCACTCGTCTTTGGATGCTCTGCAGACATGCCAAGCTCAGTCCCCACACAGGCCTGCTCTTGAATCTCTCTGTTTGGACAATTCATGAGTCTGAGTCCCCTGTCTGAAAAACGGAAGAAACTCAGCTGTACCTATTTCATAGGGTGGTTGTGAAGATCAAGTTAATATATTCAAAACACCAAAATGGTGTCTGGCACATACTAAGCAAATGTTAGCTGTTATTTTGTTGTTTTTGTTACTTCTATTTTAAGGAATGTAGAGGAGGAATGCTTTTTGGTTCTGTTGAGTTTGATACTTTTGAGATGTACAAACAGAAATGCACTAAAGGTAGACTGGTTCTATGTGATAAGAGGCATCTTAGCACCTTGGAAGAATGGGCAAAACTTCTAACTTTAATGAGTAGAGATCAGTTTGTGAATTGGGAAGATACGGATCGAGTACCTTTTATTGGGTGCTGTCTATAAGCACTGAGCTTTCAAAATAGATGGCAGCCGTCATGCTCACAACACTGGCTATTCCGATAAAAGGTTTCAACTGTTTTTGTGCTTTAGATTTTCTCTGCTTCTTTGGATGTCTTTTAGTGAGCCAAGGCCTGGATTTTCCTCTGGAAGTCTGTCCTGCCCACTTCCGTAATCTGGCGCTATGCATCCTGATCCTGGACCCTTACAGACACTGCTGTTTGTTACCCTTCTGATTCTGTGCTCTTCTGTGAGTTCAGGTAAGAGTGGAAGAATGGTAGTGTTTTGGCTGAAGCTTTTCCTCATCGAATCCCATGAAAAATAAACTTCGACTTTAATACTTTGCCAATAGTAATGGTTTCTGAAGACATTTCTAACATTTGTTTGACCAACTGAATGATTTAAAAACATTGATTAATTAATTAAGGATTTCTTAGTAGTGCTTCTGGGCATTGGCAGGCCTTCCTGTCATTGTCCTTGTAATTTATTCCTTTTCTTGCCTTAAAAATAAATATTTTCCAATCGTGCTTTAATAAGAGGATATGTTACAAATTTCTGAATTTGAAATTATAACAGGAATAAAATGCTGACTACATGCTACCAAAGAGAAATCTTAGAATTAGCATGTAAAAGTACTCAGCTTGGAGTGAGAGAACTCGGCTCAGATCTCAGGTCTCTCATGCCCTTGCCTAACTTACTATCTAACTTTTTGGGTTACTGAAAAGCTTCAGTGGGTTCACTGTTACTGTGTCTAGAAGCCCGAGCCCGATACATGGCCACTTGCAGTTCTTCTTGTTTTATATTCGTGTAAAGATTTCTATATAAGTATATACTAATACAGTGATATTTAGTTGTTAACATTTTTTTTATTATCTCTGTTAAAAATACTGTGTAACTATACTAGATTTAGTAAGGAAAAAATTGATTTCGAGGTTGTATTTCTGTTTTTGTTTTGCTAAACAACTACCTCAGATTCCGTCACGAGAGGTACTTCCCTTAATCTCATTAATGATAAAATATCCTGGAAAAGTAGTTTTGGCAATTTGTTGGTTTTCTGTTGAGTATTTCCTTCCAGCAGATCAGCAGCGTTCCTGCCCCGCCCCCTTTTTTGGGTGGAAGAGAGGGAACTGTTTCGGTACTTTCAAGTATTAAGTTCTTGGAGCAAGAACCCCCCTCCCCACAAGTTCTGGAGGAACAGACATAATAAATGAGAAACTCTTTCAAACATCAATTAGAAATATTAAGATTGGCACCCTATTTATCCTTATATCCAAACGAGGATAAACGTGGTATTTCAGTGTGGCTTCCTAACTTTCCCCTTCTGCTTTCTTAAAAGTTGCACTTTATTTTATATTAAAGGAAAGTAGTAAAGAAGGTGCCATAGCCTTTATTTGTGAAATAATTTGCTCTTAAAGTCAAATCCTGTTGGTGGCATGTGAGAATCTTTTGGTCTTGAAAGTCATCTTCTCTTTTTCAGGTTCTTCCATTTCTTGAAAGCTCTGTTAAAAGAGCAGTTTGCCATTTCTCTTTTATAGAATCGGTATTTTGTCTGATTTATATCATAAGGAGTCTCATCTATTCTGCCCTAATTATTAAGTCCTAGGTTACCTTGTTGCCTTTTTTCTTCCAAAAATGGGCTTATAAGAATGTTCCTAGAACTTTGATAAGCACTAAGAACCGTTATATATATAGATAAAATAAGGGATTGCCTTTAGTTATACAGATTCAGATGAAATGCATTTCACGTACTCTTCCTTTTCTCTTCCCTTCTCTCCCTGTCCCACCACCCCTTTGCACACGGGGAATGTTCCGTTTTAGACTTGGCACCTTATTTTATTTCTGAGCCATTGTCTGCTGTCCAGAAACTTGGTGGACCTGTAGTACTGCATTGTTCTGCTAAACCGGTGACCGCTCATATCTCATGGCTGCATAATGGAAAAAGGTTGGACAGAAACGTGGAACGGATTAAGATTCATCAGGGGACTTTGACTATTCTTTCTCTTAACCACTCCCTCACGGGTTACTACCAGTGCATTGCCAACAACAGCATCGGTGCCATTGTGAGTGGCCCTGCCATGGTATCCACTGCAGGTGAGTTTAACTTGTCCCTTTCACACGTGCTTTTCCTGGAATTCCTGTAGTACTTGTATTTTTGAACAATGGGAAGAGCATGGGCTTTGGAATAAGACACATAGGAGTTCTCAGCCCGGCCCTGACTCCTACTGTGTGGTTAACTTGGGGAAATGTACGGGCGACTCGGTGAGCCTCGCTTGTGTCTTCATCTGTAGCGAGGTTGTGGAAATGACTTTTTACACAGTCGGGACAGGTTTCTAATGTGAATTCGGAATTTCTTTGTGAGTATTTAAAAGTCCTTAATATCAACAACAACAAAAAGCTGTTGTCTGCTCTGACACTCAGTTGTTTCATGCAGTCCTTTATCTTTCTTTCACATCTAATTCTTTTATTTGCCTTGATTACTGAGTGATTTTAATTTATCTAATTGAAAGCAGGCTAAAGAAGCAGGAAAAGAATGACTGTAAAGAAAGGAATGTTGAGTATTGAACTTATGGAAAATCTGGAAGGCGTGTTTTTCTTAGTAAGTTTGAGCCATCTGCCTTTCAAACGGTGATGTCTTCCAGTAATGGAAAACGTCTTTGTAAGGGCACCCCTATTTACAGAACAAATCTGGATTCCCCAGGAGTAGTGAGTTTGTCATAACTGAGAAGAGTAAATGTTTTTGTAGAGCTGTGACCCATGGACGGCTCCGAGACCCACGCTGGAGGGCTGGATTCCTGGTGGCGGGCTGCTGAGTGCTTTCAGCGTCAGAGATCATAAAGCGCCCTTCCAAGCAGGCTCCATCTGTAGCAAACCGAAACGGAGAGCAATTGAGACCTAGTCAGTCTATTCAGATGATGCAGATGATATGCTGCTTTGTTTTTCCATGTCCTAGGTTTCTCCCTGTAAACCATTGTAAGCATTGTGAGTGGCTACAAACAGAATAAAGATGCATAGGGAAAGTGAGTTTTGATGAGGAACTGGATTGAAAAGGATTTATCTCAACAGAATGGGAATGATTATGCTTTATAGTTCTCCTGAACGTTTTAAGAGCAGTTTGCTTTTCTTGTAGTCTCCTGGAAGCATTGACTTCTGGAAAAGGGGGCCATGACTTGGCTCCAGTCCTCAGCCACGCTCCTCTACCCCAACTGTTTTCTGAGATAAGATCAGCTACCCTGTGAAATGGGATTAGCTGCCACAAACGGCCATGTTGCAGATGTCATTTCTAGATTTTAGATTTCTTTTGGGAAAGAGAGTTCAAATGTGCGTTTATTTATTTATCTATCTACTTATTTACCTATTTATTTTAGTTCTTGGTGATTTTGGCTCATCAACAAAGCATGTTATTACAGCAGAAGAAAAAAGTACTGGTTTCATTGGCTGCGAGGTACCAGATAGTAACCCCAAAGCTGAGGTGCGCTATAAAATCCGGGGAAAGTGGCTGAAACATTCCACAGGTGAGACCTTGTTACGAAAAGCCAGTGGCACCCACAGAACAAATGCCATTAAACAACCTTCTATTAAGCTCTGTGTGGTAGGGACTGTGGATACAAAAATACATAAGATGTATTGTCTCTACTCTCAGAAGTCAAGTGGAGGGGACCAGAGCAAGTGGTTACAGTATAGAAATGATTGCAGTCCCACCTCCCAGGGCTCACTCCTTCAGTTCATTCAGGTCTCTGCTCAGATAGTACTTCCTCTGAGAAGAACACCCTCACGGCGTGTCTTAAATAATATGCCCCGTCACTCTCAGTCCCCTTCATTCAGCTTCATCTTTTCTCACAGTATCGTGTTATACATGTGTATTTGCTTGTTCGTTATTCACCCCTTTCTCCGCCACTCCGCTCCCTGCGCTGGATGGTTGGCTGCGTGAGTGCAGGGCCTGCCTGCTTTCCACAGGGCTGTTCCACTTATGCCTGGGCCATCGCTGACATAAAATAGGAGTCAGTACGTATTTGTTGAGAAAGAATGAATGAATACACGAGAATGAAAACTGGTGGTTGCTGCTGTGGGTAGAGGTTTCCCCAAGGTGGTAGCTGTAGTCCTCGTATCTTTGTCTAAATATGCTTCTCCTGCTCTGGCTGTTCTCAGTGGCTGGCAACAAGATCTCTTGTCAAATGTTGTCAAATGTTTCTGATGGGTTTGATTTTGTTACTTTAGTCCTATTGACTTTTTTTTCCTTTGCCTTGACTTTCCCTTTCCTTCATTTAATGAATTTTCCCCAATTGCTTATTTGCTGCCAGTCTTATGTCTAAATTTAAAGCGTTATCAACCTTTGTTAGTTTTAATTGGTGTCAATCATCAAGAGAGGCCCTAACTGCGTTCCCTTCCTTCCTCAGAGAATTACTTAATCCTTCCGTCAGGAAATCTTCAGATTTTGAATGTATCCTTAGAGGACAAGGGGTCGTATAAATGTGCAGCTTTTAATCCTGTCACACATGAGTTAAAAGTTGAACCCATCGGCCGAAAGCTCCTTGTGAATCGTAAGTATTTGGGAGAAGAATGGTAACATGGAAGAATCCTTGGAAGCATTCCTCATAAGCCTTCCTGAAAAGTTGGGAAATGAGAATTCATTTTTCTTTCAGATCCTATTGATTTATTATAAGAAAATCTTATAAAAATTAAATCCATAAATGCATTATTGGATAGTACTGTACATGTTTTAAAAATATAATGACCTCCTTGAAGAAAATTTTGGTCAAGGTGACAGAGTGGAATACATCTGGAGAACTTTGCCCGTTGTCCAAATAAAAAGAAATTATAGAGAAAATATAACTTTATATCACTGGTAATCACATTGGTGGCTTACTGTAAATTATGAAGAAATGTGTCTGTTTCTTTCACGTATGATAAGTCATAGCTGATTTTTAGGTTATGGTAGTTGACTTGAGTTAGCTCCAAGAGTCAAAGCTCGCTGAAGTAGTGCTTTCTGTACTTGTTGAGAATTCTGCATTTCCAAACTGCTAGTTCAGAAGTAACCCTAAAGGATCCCAAAATCTTTTAATTTTGATTATCAACTAAAAATGATTTAGCTACTGGGCCCAGCCCCATGGCCGAGTGGTTAAGTTCGCGCGCTCCGCTACAGCGGCCCAGGGTTTCACTGGTTCGGATCCTGGGCGCCGACATGGCACCGCTTGTCAGGCCACATTGAGGAGGCATCCCACATGCCACAACTAGAAGGACCCACAACTAAAATATACAACTGTGTACTGGGGGGCTTTGGAGAGAAAAAGCAAAAAAAAAAAAAAAAAAAAAAAAGATTGGTAACAGTTGTTAGCTCAGGTGCCAATCTTTAAAAACAAAAATTGTCAAAAAAAAAAAGATTTACTTACTAAATAGGGCCTTGTAGTGTAAAAAAGAATAAATGAGAAGATGGAAAAGCTCACAGATTCTCTAAAGAAAAGATTGACAATCAATACTTAATAATTTTCTGTTTTTCCTTCTTTTTCCAGGCCCTTCTTCAGATGATTTTCACATTCTTCACCCCACCCTTTCACAGGCATTAGCTGTTCTTTCTCACAGCCCCGTAACCCTGGAGTGTGTGGTGAGCGGGGTCCCAGCTTCTCAAGTGCACTGGCTGAAGGACGGTCAGGATGCTGTGCTGGGAAGCCGCTGGAGAAGGCTGTACTCTCATCTTGCCACGGATAGCATTGACCCAGGGGACTCTGGGAACTATTCCTGTGTGGTGGGAACCAAGTCTGGAGATGTAAAACATGTGACTTACGTGGTTAATGTACTTGGTAAGATGTTACTGATTAAATTTTTTTTCAAGTCAGTCTATTTTTCTGGTCTAACTGATGTTTGAATGGAAGATTTATTTGTGAACTATAAGTAAAATAGGGACTATCTTGAAATATCTACCCCAATAGACAAACTTCATTTTCCTAAAGGACTGCTGAATTAGGCAGTATTTCTGGGTGGCACAGGACATTTCTCCTGGGACGTTCTTGGAAACTTCACGCCTAACCTGGTTACGTAACGCACATCTTGTTCTTCCTTCTTAATGTCATGGAGGAAAGAGACTGGAATTCAGTAGGATGGAACATTCTGGGCTGTGTCAGTGTGTAGTATCCAGTCATAGTAACTAAGAGAGTACTGACTAGAAAATGTCATCTCAAAATGAAATCTATTTCATTTTATTTTCTCTTTTGGAATGCTTTCACTCTATCTGGCTCATAACATCTGCATTATTTTTACCCACATTTCTATATAGACTCTTTATCTCAAAGCTGTTCCTTTCTTTTCTTCCAGCTGCCTATTTCATTATCATTTGTAGCAGCAGTAAACGTTTTCCTTTGACAAAACAGATTTTCATGAAAACCAGAAAAAAATAGCTAGTAAGTGGCTTCATAGTAAACATAGTTTTTGTAAACCTCCTGCACATGTTGATTTGCAACAGTGGCCTGATGTAGGTTACATTGGAATTAATGTAATTGTATGGTAAGTGGGCTTTAAAGTTTAATGATAATTAAGGCTAGATTAATATGCATAATCATTTAATTTGGGCATATGTTACAAATGTCGATGAATGGTTTTCTTTGTCTGGGTAAAAAGTGACATACTAAAGGAAGGTTTTTTTGCCCAGCATACACCTAACCTCAAAGTAGAATTGACCATAAAAAGAATTTAACTTCTGAATAGGCATGCTGCTGTTTTGGCTCTTGTTTAGTGTGAAATCCAGGGAAACTATTACTTTATTTCAAACAAATCACCGGAAACCAATGCTAAGAGAAGCCCAGAATGAGAAACTGTGTGTGTGTGTGTGTATTTGCGTGTGATGGGGGAAGTTAAGTCTGTGGAGAGATCTATGAAAAGAGACGATAACATATTAGTAACATATGGTTATGCTGTTAGAGGAAAGTTAAAATACGTTTCTAAGTTTTTCTTGATGACCACAGCAGATGGGAGAATGTGGGTAAACAATACAGTTTGGTTTCAACTAGTTATTAGTAGAGAGAAGATTTTATGACTTGTATGATAATTTAAAAAGTAGATCTTGAAGGCTAGAGTTTAATTTATGTGTTTTATTTTCAGAACACGCTTCAATTTCTCAAGGACTGCAGGACCAGACCGTGTCTCTGGGTGCCACAGTAGAATTTACTTGTGAGGTTCATGGGAACCCAGCTCCCAACCGTTCCTGGTTTCATAACGCACAGCCCATTCACCCTTCCCCACGACATCTCACTGCAGGAAATGGGTTGAAAATCGTTGGTGTGACCGTGGAAGATTCGGGGCTGTATCAGTGTGCAGCTGACAACGGGGTTGGATTTATGCAGTCTACTGGGAGACTTGAAATTGAAAAAGGTAGGCTTCTGGGTCAGGTAATCATAGGAAATTTTACTTTTTAGGTAGGTTTTTGTTGTGGTTAGAATTTAAATAATTTTTACAAAAAGGAAATAATGCTATCACCATAACAGAACTGTGTTCATTTTCCATCTTCCTTTCTGGTTGCAGGTAGGCATTTCCATGAAGAAGCAACCTTATTTAATCAAGCTCATTAAAAACATTTAAAAAAATATTTCTTCAATAAACACTACATAGTTTAAAAGGTATATGGTAAAACTCTGTCACTCCTGTTCCCCAGCCAGTCAGATTTCTCTTTAAAACTAGTCTTAGCAGTTTCTTGAATATCCTTGTATGTACATATACAGTCAGTTATACATAACGTGTGTGTGCATTTAATAACAGTATCTGGGTTTTTTTCATAAATGGTGGTAGCATTCTTTACCTTGAATTTTTCACTTAACATATATCTTGGGTATCTTCCCACATGATACACTAAACAGTATTTTCATTCCTTTTTAAAAATGTTTGCCAATTAGTATTCATTATATAGTTGTACTGAGTTGACTAGTACCTTATTGATGGCTGTTTCTAATCTTTTGCTATTTCAAAGAGTTCTACAATGAATATCCTTTTATATAGATTATTTTGCACATGTGTGAATGTCTGTAAAAATAAATCCTAGAAATGAACTTGCTGAATAAAAGCATATATACGTTGGAAATTTTGATAGATAACACTGACTTGCTCTCCAAAATTGTTTACACTGCCACCAGCAACATGTAACTGCCTGTTTCTTCATGTCCTCACCAAGGAGGCAAGGTGTTGTCAATTTTTTAAAAAATCTTTGCCAATCTGATAAGTTGAAAAAAACCTACCTTTTGATTTATATTTATTTTATTATGAGTGATATTGCGTATCTTTTCATATGTTTATGAGCCATTTGAATTAGTTTTCCTGGGGCCAGCCCAGGGGTGCAGTGGTTAAGTTCGCATGTTCCACTTTGGGCAGGGGTGTTCTGGTTCAGGTCCTGGGTGTGGACCTATCCACCGCTTATCAAGCCGTGCTGTGGCAGGCATCCCACATATAGTGTGGTTTTTTTGAGGAAGATCAGCCCTGAGCTAACAGCTGCTGCCAATCCCCCTCTTTTTGCTGAGGAAGACTGGCCCTGAGCTAACATCCATGCCCATCTTCCTCTACTTTATATGTGGGACGCCTACCACAGCATGGCTTGCTAAGCGGTGCCATGTCCACACCTGGGATCTGAACTGGCGAACCCTGGGCCGCCAAAGTGGAACGTGCGCACTTAACCGCTGTGCCACTGGGCTGGCGGCATCCCACATATAAAATAAAGGAAGTTGGGCATGGACATTAGCTCAGGGCCAGTCATCCTCAGCAAAAAGAGGAGGATTGGTGGCAGATGTTAGCTCAGGGCTAATCTTCCTCAAAAAGAAAGAAAGTCCTTTTCCTGTGTATTGACCTTTCATTGTCTTTGCACATTTCAAAAATTAGGTTGTTAGTCTTTTTTCGTATTGATTGATAAGAGCTGTTTATAAAGGAAATTAATCTTTAGTCTATGAGTTATAAATATTTCAAATTTCAAAAAATCGGTATAATACAAGCCAATTCTCTGGCCTTGGTGCCAGAGATTTAGAGGTTAATAATAAAAAATAATTTTTGATCAGCGTGTATTTGGAAATTTAAAATTATACTTCTTAGTATCTGGGTCAAAAAAATTGTGATGGAAATTTAAAATACTTTGAATAATAATGAAAATGCCTAGATCAAATTGTTTGGGATATAGCAAAAATGGAACTTAGAAGGAAATTTATAGCCTTAAATGCTTATAAAAGAAAACTAGTAAGACTGAAAGTTAATGAGCTACATGAAATAACAGAATAGAATTAGAGAAAGCGGAAGAAAGGAGATAAAATAAGGGCAGAGATCAATTAAATAGAAAATGAAGATAAGCTAGAGAGGTTAGTAAAGATAGAAGTTGGTTCTTCATGAAGTCTAATAAAATGGACAAATCTTTGGCAAAATACAAATAAATGATATTAGGAATAAAAGTACAAATCTTGTAGAGATTAAAAATAATAAGTTAAGGGGCCGGCCTGTTGTTGCAGTGGTTAAGTGCGCACATTCCCCTTCAGCGGCCCAGGGTTCACCGGTTTGGATCCCGGGTGCAGACATGGCACCGCTTGGCAAGCCATGCTGTGGTAGGCATCCCACATATAAAGTAGAGGAAGATGGACACGGATATTAGCTCAAGGCCAGTCTTCCTCAGCAAAAAGAGGAGGATTGGTAGCAGATGTTAGCTCAGGGCTAATCTTCCTCAAAAAAAATAAAATAATAAGATAAGACTATGATAAACTTAATGCCAATAATTTACAAGTATAGACAGAAATGGACAAATTCTTAGGAAATATATAACTTAGGCTGACAAAAGAAAGAAAAAGCCTGAGTAGTCCTGTGGCTATTCAGGAAACTGATTAGGAGTTAAAACTATCTTCCCACAGAGAAAACACTAGGCCAGATGGTTTTATGAAGAGCGCCACCAAACTTTCAAGTAACAGACCATTCCAAATATTACAGACTCTTCAAAGAAAAGGAAAAAGTGAGAACTCTCCAGTTACTATAATTTTCATTCCAAAATCACAAAAGAATGGTATAAGAAAGGAAAATCAAAGGCCATGGCATTTGTGAACATAGATGCAAGAATCCTATATAATAGCAAGTCATCAATATATAAAAAAGGGAATACATCTTGACTGAGGAGTTACCCCAGGAATCACTCAGAAAATTTGAAGTGTCATTCATCCTATTCATTGAATAAAGGAGAAAAACAGTGTGATTATCTCTGTAGAAGCAGAACAAACATTTGACATACGTCAGTATCCATGTTAGACACTCTTAGAAAAAATAGAAACAGAAGGGAACTTTCCTAACTTGATAAAGAGTATCTAACAAAAACTACAGGAAACATCACTTCTGATAGTGAAATGTTAGAAGCATTCCCTTTAAAATCTCTTTTATTTATCATCATACTGGAGATTCTAACAAGCACAGAATGACAAGAAAAAGAAATAAAAGTGTAAGGATAAGAAAGAAAGAAACCAAATTGTTATTAATTTACAGCTGCTATGATTGTCAACAATAGAGAATCCTCCATAGTTTGCTGGCAAATTATTAGAAATAATAAGAGCATTTAGCAAGATGGCTGCATGAAGACCAATAAACAAGAATCAGTTGTCTTTCTATATAACAGTGTATTGGCCAAGTTTCTCCAGAGAAACAAAACCAATGTGATATGTAAGATATACATAAGATGAGATTTATGATGGGAGTTGTATCACATGGCACGGAGGTTGAGAAGTCCTGTAGTCCTGTCTGCAAGTGTGCAAGCTGGAGGAGGAAAGCGGATGGTGTCATGCAGCTGGGGGAGGGGCTGATGGTGTAAGCCTTGACCTAAGTTCAAAAGCCGGAGAACCAGGAGGCTGATGTCCAGTGTCTGAGGGCAGAAGAAGATGAATGGCTCAGCTCAAGCAGAGAGAGAGAGAGAATTCGCCTTTCCTTCACATTTTTGTTCTCCTGGGGCCCTAAACAGATTGGATGGTGCCCACCCACATTGGGGAGGGCCATCTGCTACACTCTGTTCACCAATTCAAATGCTAATCTCTTCCAGAAACACCCTCACAGACACACCCAGTTATCTGGGTATCCCTTAGCCCAGTCAATTTGACACATAAAGTAAACCATTACAACGAGCAACAAACAGAAAATATAATTTACAGGTCACCTTTTTATGTTAGCAACATTAAAAAGACCCAAGTACATAGAAAGATATACCAGTTCGTGGATACCAAAATTCAGTATATAAATATAAAGTTGTCAGGTCTTTCTAAAAACTTTCTGTAGATTCAAGCAATTCTAATTAAAATCCTATTGGAATATTTTGAAGACCTTGACAAACTGATTCTAAAATTTATATGGATGATCAAAGGCCCAAGAATAGCTAAGACACTCTAAAAGAAGAAGAAAAGGAGCATGGGGGACTTGCTTTACCAGATATTAGAACATATGCAAAAATCTATAGTAATTAAGATGGTATTGTATTGGTGCAGGAACAGACAAATGGACTCTTGGAACAAGACAGACTGTGAAAAAGACACGTGCACTTAAGGACCTGACTTAGGTGGCATTGCGGATCACCAAGGGGAGGACATCCATTTCAAGTTTTCATGTGGGATAATTGCTTATCAAAATGGAGCAAAAGAAGAAATTGTCTCTAACTCATATTGTATATAAAGACAAATTCCCAGTGGATTAAAGACCTATATATGAAAGTCAAAATGACAAAGTTTTTGAGGGAAATATATGAGAATATCTATATAATCTGGGTAAAACTTTTTAACAAGACATTTTAGGCTAATTAAAAAAAGCTGATATGACTACATTGAAATTAAAGTATGCTCATTATTAAAAGATATCATTCCAAATAAGCAATAAACTGCAAGATGATACTAGTAACATATATAACTAACAAAAGAACAGCATCTAGTATGTACAGAGAACTCTGAACCATACAGAAAAGATAAATGACCCAATAGAAAAATGGACAAGAGGCTTTTCCCAGAGAAGGAAAAATATGAGTGACCGGTAGACCCGTGAACAGACGTTTGACCTCATTAGTACACAGGGAAGTGCAGGTTATGACCAGTGAGACAGCATTTTAGACTTAGTAGAGTGGCAAAAATTCAGAAATCTGATAATACCAACTATTGGTTGGTTTTGTCAAAGATAGGAAGTAGGACTGGAGAAGGAGAAAGACGTGCTGGAGAAAATGTCATTTGTTATCAATGTTCCATTGTAGGCACACTTAAAAATAGCCCCAGGGAATACCTGGGACCAGAAGGAAACAGTTGGTGCCACTTTAGTTTAGAAACAAAAATGTTGGGGCTGGCCCCATGGTGTAGTGGTTAAGTTTGCGTGCCCTGTTTCCGTGACCCAGGGTTTGCTGGTTCAGATCCTGGGTGTAGGCCTATGCACCGCATCATGTCATGCTGTGGTGGTCACCCACATACGAAGTAGAGGAAGACTGGCACAGATCTTAGCTCAGGGCCAATCTTCCCCGCACACACACAAAAGAGAAACAAAAGTGTTGTTTATGTGTGTGGTAAGAAATATGTTTATCAACTTTTACCCAGAACAGGTCTTCTTCCAGGCTTTTTATAGTCAGACTTTCCCCCCTGGAATTGACTGTTTTTGTAAAGGAATATCATTTTGTTTTATGCTACTTTACACCTTTTTCGTGTTAAAGTCTGAGGCTTTGGCTGCACGTGTTCTCTATTTACAGTATAGATAAATGTGTATAGGAACCTACTGGGAAGCTCTCAGCAGATTCCTTTATGTGCATTCCTTGCTTTCTGAAGCACAGGAAATCTAGGTGGGAAATGTCTGGGAGCCCACAACCATGAGAAGTTCTGCTTTTTATTGACAGTTTTATTTGGTGAAAGTTGAGAAGGGAACTAATAAGGAGGGAGTTATCTTTGTTCTGATCATTACTATCATTGATGTATCAGTGAATGAATGTGTTCTCCGCCGTGTTCTGTGTGTAAAACACTGTTTAGAAACACACATACAAAAGATGTTTCTAAGACTACTACTTGTGCATGATGTTGAGAACATTGATGCAATAGGATGAAATTATTTTGCATTGTAGGTACTATAATATTCTTAATTTTCTGCATGTGAATTACTTTTTTCATAGACCGTGGACTCAAGCCAGTTATAATTACAGCGCCAGCAAGTGCCAAGGTGGTAGATGGAGACTTTGTTACTTTGTCCTGCAATGCCACTGGAGTGCCGGTTCCAGTGGTTCGCTGGTATGACAGGCATGGATTGATAACCAGCCATCCGTCTCAAGTCCTTAGATCTAAATCCCGAAAGTCACACTTATTAAGACCTGCGGGCTTTGACCTGGAGCCCGTCTCCTTCGTCATGTCCCGAGCTGGCTCGAGCTCTCTGTATATTCAGGCTGTTACTCAGGAGCATGCTGGGAAGTACACCTGCGAAGCTACGAATGACCATGGCACCACCCAGTCGGAAGCAGTCCTCACAGTTGGTGAGTTGCTGTTAGGATTTTTTCCCAGGTGAACAGTTTCCTGTCGTAGTAGGGGATAAAGTGCTTTGAAGTATGTTGCTTCAATGAATCCAGCAGTCTCTAAATGTGTGTATTTTTCCCACTAACAGTGAAATGTAGAACTATTGCTTTTGGTTATGTGAACCAGGTGAGCCATGGCCTCCACATGTGATGTGTTTGTTGATCTTGTGGTTGTCACACAGAAAGCTCTCATTTGGGGGCAAGCCCAAGGTATGACCTCTCTTTGTGATTAATGTTTTTGGTTTTCTGAGCTACTGAAAATCTCATTGCAGACATTTTTCAGGTGAGCCCTTGATAAGTACAATTTTCAAACTCTAAAGTGTTTGCTTTCACAGAGAATGTAGAGTCGTGGTACTGTCAAATGACACCTGTATGTATATTTGCCCTTATCTTATTCAAAGTTATTTTTCGAATGAGATGTATAATATTAATTCTTTAAATTAAACTGATTTTTGGTGATGGTGACTTAATTTGAAGTATTGGTATATAGAATATCCATATTATTAAAATTAATTCAAATTTGACTTAAGTCAAATTCAAACCTTACATCAGCGGGCATTTAGAGCAGCGTTCCCAGCGAGTAGTCAGTTGCGTGGACGTTGTCACCACATTTGTCTTGTGAAAGCAGAGTATCACACAGCAGTGCTGCCCTTAGTCTTGGCAACTGAGGTCCCTGCCCTGGGCCTCTGCTTTCGAGGGCTTTGTGTGGCCCTCTTCTGCCTGGGTCCTCAGCTCCCACAGGTCAGAGTCTTTGGGGGGCGTCAAGGGGCTGTGTTTAACCGGAGCCTGGAGCGCATGTTCCTCCTTCTATACAACAGGGCTGGGGCTCCGGAAGTCCCTGCTTTAATTAGGTCACAGTCTGATTCCACATAGGTCCTTTTCCCTGGTCCATCCTCTAGAGTGTGGGCCACACCACGAGTGTGCAGGTGCCCTTAAGCCAGAGGAGTGGCCCAGGGGTGATCTTTTGCACAGGAGGAATGGTGAAATAAACAGAAGTTGGATGTGTGCACTGGTGTGTCCATTCACATCCACTCAAGGACCCTCTAGCTTTGGATGAAGCTGGAGGTGGGAAGAGAAATCGGGGAGGCCAGGGACTTCCTTTTATACTCTTGTGCTGCTCCATGAATGCCAGAGGAGTAAATGATGTGGAGGTTAAGCATGTAGGCTGTATAGAATCCTGCCTCTGCCACTGATGAGCTTTGTAACGTGGGGCAAGTTACTGAACTCGTCTGTGCTTGTTTCCTCATCTGTGTAACAGGAGCAGTGAAGGTGCCCCACTCCTAGGGTTGCTGTGAGAATTCAAGGAGGTCATACATGTAGACTGCTTAGAATGGGCTCTGGCCATAGACCGCCTTCAATAAATACTGAGGTGTTTGGTTGTAACTGTTACTATCTGATTATTATTACATTATAATTATCCCATGTGGTGGTTAGGGAAGGAAGAAATAGTCACTGATTTTGGTAACCTTAGGAATCCTCAAATAAAGAAGGTAGTTGAGTGTTGTATAAATTTATACATATAGATGAATGTGTATATGTATGTATATGTGTGTATGTGTATTTATATATCTATTCTGCCGAGCAAAAATAGGAGTGGCTCTGCTCAAAATTGTTAGCTGTAACACAGGTGTAATGCAGGTACTGCTTGGGTAGCATTTAGCTGAAGTGATTATTTTATGTAAACATTGGGTAGAGGGAGCCTTCGACGTCATAGTCGTAGCTGATGGAAGTAGATATTTTGTCTAATTGCCTCACTTTGAAGATGAGAGATCTGAAGCCCTTAGAAGATATGTAAGCTAAGTTGTTTAGAGTAGATCTTCTTAGATCTTTAAGATCCCCCCACTCCAGGGCTTTATGTCTTGATAAGTAGCATTTTTATGTATAGTAACCCCATCACCTACATCTTGCAGCAGTGGTCCTGCATCACCTCTTTTGCATGCTCTATGGTAATTATTAAGATCCAGCGGAGTTTATTAAAGCTCAGAATAGTACATAACAACCCACGTCTTTCCCCAGGAATCTGAGCCTTATTAAGTTCTAGCATACTGACAGCCGTTTACTTTGTTTATTGCGAAGAGGAGAGGAAGCAAAGTCAAAGAGAGGATGACTGCCTCCCCACCCATTTTTTTCATGCCAGAGAGCTTGGGTTTTGAGGTCCTGGATGTACCAATATTTGTAGAGTGAGTTGTAACTCTCCAAAACTATAATAGGAGTTGGCCTGGGCTTCCTAAATAGTTTGGGGTAGAGGTTGCTGGTATGAGTGGTCACAGTGGGAACAACTTTAACAGATCTGGTTATAGTCCCTGTTTAATTAGTTTCAACTCAGAGTCATTAAATTTATGGCCATAGTTACAGTACTTAGGAAACCGGAGTTTTATCAGTCTCTTTTCCACTTCAAAAAACATTCCACCTCAAATGATGCTGGATGTCTATTCTGACCATTTCACGGAGTTGTTGTGAAGATAAATTGAGATAATGTATGTGAAACAAACTTCTGAACATACTGTTAAGGCCTTATAAATTGTACCTAGTATCTTGTTTGTGCTCAGATTATATTATTAGGAATAGTAAAGGAAAGTTAATTGAATCCGCTTTTTAATGAAAGTTATGGAAAAGTCTCCTTGCATCCTGAGTAACAGAAGCAGAATTTTGATGCTAGTACAGTGGACACAGGCTGTAGCATGACATTTTTATCATGCCTCCGTATAAACGGATGCTTGTGGTGTTTAAACTCTTCTCCAGCCAAATACCACTTCCCAGTGGTGACCTGCCCAGAGGACCCATGAAACTGCTAATGATAAAAGGTCCTTCTCCACTCCCCGAAGCCACAGCTAATTACCTCCACTTGCTAGAGTCCATCTCTCTGCATGGGCCGGCTCCAGATCCCACCCTTAACGTTCGCCCACATTCTGACTCACTAGGTAAACATGGCTGTTCCAGGAGCAATATTTTGAAGTTGTCTCAGTGAACTTAATTGGTTTTCTTCCATATTATTTTCTCACTAGCTTCTTGTTTTCTTTGATGGAGGATGCTTCTGGGACACCTTTTCTCTATTTTAAACAAATGGAGAACTGACCTTACTGTTAGTCCTATTTTTTTTTCATTTTCAACTCAACTGCAATAGTTCTGAAAACACACCCACCTTTTACCAGGAATCTGACTTCATTGTGGAAAAGAAACTCGAATGTTGTTTCCTCTGCTCCCTTCCGCCACAAAAGTAGTCAAAAATAGGAGACTTTTTTTGTTGCCAGTATTAATAGCACTTTAGAGAAACCAAGCTGTCAATATTTAGGTTTTATCATAGTGGCATATATTTGTCTTCATAAATTGCTCTCATTTTTTCACAGGATACCACTAATTCTTCTGCCAGCTGTTGTCGCTTAATCTCTCAGAACCCTAACTTCTTCATCTGTAAAGTGGGAGTATTGCTATCTACCTAAGAATGTTGTTTGGAGCATTAAATGAGATTGTTTATTAACTGTCTAGCACAATGTTTGCCACATAATATGTGCTTAGTAATTGTTTTGGAAATATGCAACCTGTCTATTTGTTTCCACACAAATAAATTATTTTTACCTTTCTCCATGGACTCTGTATGTTTTCAGTAGTAAATATTAAGGCTATCTGCTTGTTTTATCTTTCTTTAGGTTGGCATTTCTTAAGCCAACCTTCAGTTTTATCCAGAAAGGGCTTTTTTGGAAATAATTCCTCCTTTACCTTTGCTTGTCTTGTTTCATTTTTCCCCTCTTGTTGAATGTAGATTGTTTTCCATGTAGAGAGTAGGTATTTTAGTTATCCTTTGCTGCATAACTACCTGCAAAGATTAATGACTTAAAACAGAAGTCTGTCCGGCATGTCTTACAAGTCCCTGGGTCAACTAGATGCAGCTGGGCAGCTCTCCTGGCCTTGCTTGGGGTCTCTTGTGCCTTTGTAATCAGATGGCACCTGGGACTGGGACCTCTACAGTGGCTTCACTCACATTTGTGGCGCCTTTGTGAGGGCTGGAACTACCCCCCACTTCTCTCTCTCTCTCCCCCGCTTCCCACCCCGCCGTGTGGTCCCTCCACATGGCTCGCTTGGACGTCTGTATGTGGCAGCACAAATGTAGAAGGGCCAAGCCTTCTTAAGGCTTCAGCCTGGAAGAGCACTGCTCACTTCTGCCTTCCATTGGTTAGAGCCAGTCACAGGGCCAGCCGGGGATCCAGCGGGGGCGGGGCTGCGCAGGGGTGTGGATACTGGAAGGGATCTCAGGAGGCTAGCCACCCAGGGGGTCGGCGCCTGACTCTTGCCATTGCCTTACTATTTATTTCACCTATTTCCGAGGGAATGCATTGCTCGTGTGTTTCGTTTACCAACTAGAGTTAAAGCTCCCTGTTTTCCAACATAAGATCTTCTGAGGTTAAACTAGCAAATCGTTGTTGGAAAAGAGAGAATACTAGTGTAGAGCAAGGGAAAAACAACATTCCTTAAACCGATAAACGACTGCGTCATGTAATTGACTTTTCAAACAATTAATTTCTCCTTCATGAATAAGAGATTGCTACTGGAGGTGAGAGGTTTCCATGAATTATAAAGTGAAATGTTACCTGTTTTAACTTCTAGGGCTCACGTTGTGGTAATAATATCAGTGTGGGCAATTAGGTCACTGTATGGAAGACACTGGAATGATGAATTTCTTCAAGCTGTCTCCTCTCTTTCCCTTTCTCTCTTTCTCTACAGTTCCTTTTGAAACAAATACAAAAGCAGAAATAGTCATACCTTCTGAGCCCACTCAAAATGATGAAAGAGATGATTCAGAAACTGGATTACTGAGCTCATTTCCAGTGAAGGAACATTCCAGTGCAGTGGAGTCAACTTCAGAGAAAAATGCTAGTGGTGCCTCTGTCCCGGATGCCCCCATCATTCTGAGCCCTCCGCAGACCCGCACACCAGACACGTACAGCCTGGTGTGGAGGGCAGGCAAGGATGGCGGCCTGCCCATCAATGCCTACTTTGTGAAGTATCGAAAGGTAATGTCTTCTCGTTCATCATCTTTCTCTTCTCGCACCTTAACCGTGTGTGCCTCGCACATGCTTACTATCTTTGACGTTTGTGGAGTGGCAGGAACAGAGCAAGAGTGTTTCAGGAAGATGAGTTTGGAGGAGAGATCCCAGCAATCGTGCTGGCTGTACCAGTCTCATAAAAGCAGTAGGAGTGAAGTATAAATAATTTCCCCAGAATAGGGACTCTGAGACCCAGTGACGTCTTGACATTTTGTAGCAAACAATTTAACCTCTTGGATGTAAAGCTCTATAAACCACTTATTAAAAAGTGATCGCTTCCCTCTCTAAGATAGTAGAATACAGTTTATTTAGCAAAGAAAGCAGTTTCTTATTAGAAACAACTGTTTGAACAAAGCCTCTGGCATGATCTCTGACAATTGTTTTCATTTGCAGTTGTCTTAATTGTGTCAGAATCTTACATGGTTTGCTCCTTGGTAAACCTCGTCCTCTCAGGATTTTTCCAATAATGTTTTCCCTCTAGAGGCTCATATTAAAGCAAAGTGAAGAAAATCTCCTCTCTTTGTTTAATGAGGCTAAGAAATGAATGAAATGGAAAGAGATGCACTCATATTTAAAATAACATTTTTTTATACACAACTATGTGCTGGGGGGATTTGGGGATTAAAAAAAATTTTTTTTAATAATTTTTTTTGTCGAAGACATTTTGGTATTCATCATTTAATAGTAATATTTTTTAATGTCTGGAAGAGTTAACATGGTGATATCTGAAAGTTTATTCACTTTTTCTAACCTGATGATTCTAGATGAAGAAAGTTTCACTGGTATTTTTATCCACATGACAACTTTGTTGTCTCTTGGTTCCATTAACCAAGACCCAACTGATTAGATCTCTTTTTAATTTATTTCCTCCAACACATGTTGAACAGTGTCAAGACATGAAGCAAGAAGTCTAGAAATATATAATGCACAGTTAGATAATTCATCTACACATAAACGTATATAATATATATTCTAATTTATCACATTTTTTATGTTTACTATATGTTATCATTAATACATATTATTATATACTTACTTTATTCTCACATTAGCCCGTTAAGAAAGGAGTATTGTTTCCATTACAAGTACAGGGAACAAACTCTGAGAGATCCAGTGACTTGCGTGAGGCCATAAGTTAGTGGTAAGTAGTGAAACCAGGACTGTTTCAGTGAGAATTCCTAAGTTCTTGCTACAGGTCTCCTTATATTTCTTAACGTGAAGATATATTGTCTCTTACTTACAGTAGTATATCACTTCCCAAAATTCATCTGGAATTGAATGACTTCTAGTTTTTATTAAATTTCAGTAGAAGTTTTTTCTACCCTTTATCTCCTTGTTGTTTTTTTTTTTTAATAAAAAGGCTTATTTTCTCTTGAGTAGCTAGACGACGGTGTTGGCCTGGTGGGAAGCTGGCACACAGTTCGAGTCCCAGGAAGTGAGAATGAGCTGCATTTAACGGAACTGGAGCCGTCCAGTCTCTATGAAGTTCTCATGGTGGCACGCAGCGCAGCCGGCGAAGGGCAGCCTGCCATGCTCACCTTCCGGACCAGCAAAGGTGAGTGGGATTTTCCTGAGAGGAATGAGCTGGACGTCTCGGTGTCATTTTGTTAGTAAGCATCCTTGTGGGTAGTAGAGATTCTTATGGATAAATTCATTAAGTAAGCCTATTATAGTACCTTTTTTGGCCACATTTGGATGGTTGTATTATTCCATTCCATCCAACATCCCACAAATATTTTTGAAAGCTTTTGATACATAAGGCATTAGGGTAAGTGATACAGGGAAAACAAAGATGATCAAGCCGAGATCCATCCTAATGGAGCTTCTACTTTGCTAAGAAAGGTAAGACATATACCTAAACACCAACTACAAGGCAACATTTCAGTTCAGCTAATATTTACTGAATCCTTTCTAAAGATTTAATTTTTTCGTTTTTCTCCCCAAAGCCCTTTGGTACATAGTTGTATATTTTTAGTTGTGGGTCCTTCTAATTGTGGCATGTGGGATGCCGCCTCAGCATGGCTTGATGAGCGGTGCCATGTCTGCACCCAGGATCCGAACTGGCAAAACCCCAGGCCGCCGAAGCAGGGCACACGAACTCAACCACTCAGCCACGGGGCCGACCCTACTAAATGATTTCTATGTGCTGGGCAGTAAGCAAAATAGACAAAACTCTTTGCCCTCATGAAGTTTACATTCTAGTTGGGAGAGACTTACACCTAAATTATAAGTACATTAGGAGGTGATGAACGTTAAAAGAGAAATAAATTAGGGGATGGATAATAGGAAGTGTATGGGGTAGTAGGTGTCACAGTTTAAGCAGGTGGCCAGAGAAGTCCTCAATGAGCAGTTGACAGCAGAGCAGAACTTAGAAGTGGAAAGCCATGTGGATATCTGGGGAAAGAACATGACTGCAGAGAGAATAGCAAGTGCAAAGGCCCTGGGGTGGGGTGTGCTGGTGCACCCTAAGAACACTGCGGGGGCCACTGGGACTGGAGCAAAGTAAATGAGGGGCCTGTGGGGGAGAGTGATCAGGGAGATGACAGAGTAGCCAAATCAGACAGCACCTTGTTGACCCTGCAAGGACATTGACTTTGACTCTGAGTGATCTGGTAGCATTAGAGGGTTGGAGCGGAGGAGTGACATGATCTGTTGTATGTTTCAACAGGACCATTCTGGCTCTAGGGTAAGGATATACTAGAGGAGGGCAAGAGTAGGCAGAGACCAGAATATGACAAGTACTGAGAAAGACTTACAGAGAAAATACCAGAGGAGTACAAAGAAAGGATATTCTCTCTGTAGGGTAGTGTGTGAGGGTGGGCTTGATTGAAAAGATGCCATCATAGCTTGGCCATAAATGAACAAAAAGTCTTCAGTGAGTGGAGATGGGGAATTGAGTGGAAGAGTGAGTATGGCACGGTAATAAAAGAGAGGTATATTGAGTGAGAAGAAATTGTCTCTTGGCTCTTGAAAAAGACCCTTTCGTCTCATTACTGAGTCTAGCCAGAAAAATAACAAGTATCTCTTATTTGAAATATATTTTGAATTAGTTTTCATAATTAGTCCTTAGTTGTTTATAGAGTCTGACCTATAAATACTGAATAATAAGCATGTATTTCAGTTTTAAAATAATTACCCAATTTCACTCTCTCTGTTGAAATTTTAAAACTTCACCTGACAATTTTCCCATGAAGAAACTTAAGAAAAGTTCTTTAGTAGTGAATTTTATGTTTTAGAATTAAGAAATATGTACAGTATAAAGAAAAAAAAGGACAGTTTCAAACCTTTACTGTAGTCTTTTGGCTTTTTCCCTTGTCTTGTTTTTTCTCTGTGCAAATTAATGTTAGCCTGATAAAGACACATTTTAGTTTCCCCTTAAAGGTACATGAAAAAGACAAAGTAATTTTTTAAATCAGTTCCTCTGTTTATCTAAGTATTTGCAATGTAGGTCTTAAATTTAGACACTGTAACAGATACGTTCATATATTTACATGTATATGCCAGTTGAGTTTCATAGTATCTTTTCTTACTTTACATATGCACTGAAGCTTCTGTTACAATGTATGTTTTTTAACCTTCCTAGAGAAAATAGCATCATCAAAAAACACCCAGGCGTCCTCTCCGCCCATGGGCGTCCCTAAACGCCCTGTTGTTCCAGAGGCTGCAGACAGCTTCGGGGTGGTGCTTCCAGATCCCTCCAGGCATAGTGGAGGTAAAGAGAAGAGCCTGCGTTTTATTCATTTTGTTTGTTTACAAACGTAACTGACCTGTTTCAGATTATTTGAGGAGGGAAGTAGAAGGGATTTGGATTATTTCCTACCACATAACTCTTTTAGGTCCTATTTCAACCAATTTTTAGTGTCCTATATTCAAATCTTGGTAAGCCAGTATCATGATTGGTATTTAAGTTAATAAACTCAGATTCAAAATGTTCTGGTACTGAGTTGTTATAACTCAAAAAAAGGGTTTTTCAATCTCCTCTCTGGCAAGGAAACCAAATTTATGTATCTATATGTGTATATTTCTTTTGCTTGAGGAAGATTCGCCCTGAGCTAACATCACTTGCTGATCTTCCTCTATTTTGTATATGCGCTGCCACCGCAGCACGGCTGCTGACAACTGGTGTAGGTCTGCATCCGGGAACCAAACCCGGGCCGCCAAAGTGGAGTGTGTCGAACTTCACCACTAGGCCACTGGGGCTGGCCCCCAAATTTATATTTTGAAGTCTGAAAGTCTGAGGGTATTTTTGGTGACTTATCAGAATGTATGGTGGTACCTTTAGTAAGATCTAGTTTCTTTTTTTCTATTGAACATTCACATGTCATACTCAGTTTTATTGCTATATCTTATCAATCTTACGGTTTTCAGATGTGGCAGTAAAATTTTTAAGACTTCCTTTTTGGTATTTAAATTTCACACTTAATTCTACAGTTCCAACATAATGCGCTTTTTCTGATTGTGCTAATGTGTATGTGTCAGCAGGACATCGAGGGAAGGCTTAAAATTTCGTTGCTGAGCCCTAAGAATTTTCAAGCTTCTCTTCCCTGTTTTTGTAGTCTTCCATGAATTGGTCTCAGACAAAAGCACGTGGTACCATTTTGAACGCCCCTCCGGTGTGCCTCTGTGCCTTCCTTATCATGAGCCTCTTTTGCTTGAGTGCTTTCACCTCTGCAGAACGTTTCAGCTACCTTAAGCAGATTACTTATATGACTGTCAACATTATATGAATAAAACTGACATTTGTAAAACAGAAACCTTATGGCTTATTTAGCACACTGTGGTAGACACTGTACCAAATGCTGGAGCAGCAGGGAGAAAGTAAACCTTGCCTTCAAGAAGTTTACAGTGTAGTGGGTGATATAAACAACTGAACCAATCACAACATAGTGGATAATGTAGACAAATTAACGCAGAACAGTGATTTTGATTCATTATGCCTGAGATTCTACTCTTGGTATTGTGGGATCACAATAGAAATATCTAAATCACCCATTTGATATAGAGGAGGCCACGGGGTTGGGAAGAGAGGCACCCTGGGTTGAGCCTCAAAGACAAGAAGGCTATCGCCGGAAGAAGGAACAGGAGAAGAGGATCTAGGCAAAGACAGCTCCTTGTGCAAAGAGACAGATGAATGATGTTTTATTTCATTTAGAGATTTAGGAGATTAGATATTTTACTTAGTGTGACTGCTTGCTGTGGGGAATGACGCTAGAGTGGCTGCCTTGTGTGATGTACTTAAAAATGTAGTCGTTCCCTGAAAGCAGTAGAGAACCCTAAAGAATTTAAAGAGGGGACAAGAGGAATGGCAGAAGACAAGGTTAGAGAACTAATGAGGGTGGTGACAGCGTGAATGGAGAAAGGGACCTAGGTGACGGATCAAGGGAGCTGAATATACATCGAATGAGACAGAGAAACATGGTGACTTGGGCAGCTAGGGTCCGCTTGCTGAGATGGGTCACAGAATCTTTAGGTGAAGATCCTGGATTCAGTTCTGGAGATGTGAGTTTGGAGTTATCCAAGCAGAGAGAACCATGAGAAGTGATTTCTCTCATCTTCGCAACAGCCCTGCGAGGAAGGTCGTGTCTCTCTCTTACAGATTAGGAAACTGAGATTCAAGGAGGTTATGTGGTTGCCAAAGGTCATCCAGAAAGGGGTGGAACTGCTATGCAAATGCAGATTTCTTAAGCCCAGGGGCATGTTCTTTCTTTTATCTCTTAACTGTCATATGCTGTTTCTTTGGGTATTGAAGATACCCTTCTGTAGAGATTTTTTTCCCTAATAACTTTCTTCCCTGTTTGGTCTGTGCGGTTCTTTGAGGAGTTTTAGCCTCACGTGAATCTACATAAGGAAGTTGATTGGTTGTCTGGCATTGAGAGTTTCACTAACAGTTGTATTCATTCTGTTTCCATTGCTGTCTATCTTGAAAGGAATACAGTAAGTATCAGTCAAAGTCACCTGCTTTGAATATATTCCTCTTTTTATCCATTAAGCAGTTTGTCTTTAAAATGCCGCAGTTTTCTCCACGCAAGTACCACATGCAACATCATTTTGTTTGTTCTTCTGTATGTGTTTTGCGGGTTGAAGGGGTGTTGATTGTGGAGCATGGCACAGTCTCAACAGAGAAAGGCTCCCTCAGTGACTTCACCACAGTCGTGTAACCACGGCCCAGCACTGGTCCTCCTTGTTCCAGGTCTAGAGACTCGACTGCCAGTATGCCGGAAGATGGTCGGTCTCTTGAGAACCAGCTCACCTCTACCACATTCATAGGTGTCACCCCGAATGGCAGTGTACTAACTTGTGATGTGGCTGTCATACAGACCAGCCCGTTGCCATCAGCATTCTTTCCATGTAGGAACCCAGTGGGAAGTCAGCGTTATAACAAGATTGCTTGGTCCCTGGTTTAAATGGCTGGTGAACTTGCTCCTGATCCTTTCAACCTGCCACAGAAGCCAGACCGTCTGATCTGTGGGTTAGGGTGTCCCCACCGCTTGGCAGGGCCGACTGAAAACTGCTGAACGTTAGCTCTCTGACCCCCTTTTTCTACATGTTCCTGTAGATCAGCTATTTTCCAGGAGCGCTTTTCTCTGTTTAACGACATGTCCTTCCTAATACTTGTGTCTTCCAGCTTTCACCCTGAGTAGCATGCTCCCTTCCTGTTATTATCAGTGTTGATTTTATTGGTCAAATTTTCTCTCTTTTACCACCTTCAGTCTGTTTTTTTGGAGTAGCATTCCTGTGGCCTTGAGGGGTGTTAAGATAGCATGTGGTAGTAATAGCTAATGTAATAATCTGTAGATTGTTTGCTGAATGTGTTTTATGTAGCTTGGGTGGATGAAGAAAAACATCTAAATAAGACCACACATTCTAATTATGAAAATTTATTATAAATTATAGCTGCAATCAGACGAGCACCAAATAATCATTCCTTCTACACTGTTTTAGCTGTCAATCCAAAATAGCATGGTCACAGTGATCACACTCATTACCTCTCAGTTTTTCAGAGCTAATTATCAAGTTTGTAGATTATTTTAATTTTCCTTTCTTTTATTTCTGTATTTGGCCATTTCCTTGTCCATTAGCTTTTATCGGAGGACAGGAAGATAGCCTTAGTGTTATTAACTGGCAGCAAGTCAAGTGAAGAACCTGTAATAAATGGGCTTTGGGACTCATCCTTCTGAGTGGATTTGCATTGTTCTTGTCTCTGACTCCGTGGGGTATTGAAATGAATGTTTCCATCTTCAGTTCCGGAAGCACCTGATCGGCCCACCATCTCCACCGCCTCGGAGACGTCCGTCTACGTCACTTGGATTCCTCGGGCAAACGGGGGTTCTCCAATCACCGCCTTCAAGGTGGAATATAAACGGATGAGGACTAGCGATTGGCTGGTGGCTGCGGAAGATATCCCTCCTTCCAAACTTTCTGTGGAAGTTCGTAGTTTAGAGCCAGGTAGTAATATTCAGACACTTCCTTTTTTAACCGTCAATGCATATTTGTAATCATCTAGTGTTCTTCTGATTGTTTAAGTAATATGAGTTTAGTGGATAAAAATTTGAAAATAAAGAAAATCTAAAGAAGAGAATAGGTCAACTGAAACCGGTCCATCTGGAGATAACTGTTGTTTACATTTTGGTATATTTCTTTCTAGCCTTTTTTCTGTGTGTGTGTGTGTGTGTCTCTTTTTTTTTTTTTTTTCTTTTTGCTGAGGAAGATTTGCCCTAAGCTAACATCTGTTGCCAGTCTTCCTCTATTCTGTATGTGGGTTAATGCCACAGCAGGCCTGCTGATGAGTGGTGAGGGTCTGTGCCTGGGAACCAAATCCAGGCCACCAAAGTGGACTGTGCTGAACTTAACCACTGGGCCATGGGGCCAGCCCCCTTTTTTCTCTTTTTAATACAAAGTGGAATCATGTCATAAATATTGTTTTGTGACCCCATCTTCCCCGTATTATATCATTATATGTTTTCCAATATCATTAAAAATTCTTTAAAAACTCAACTTATATCTAAACTGTGTAGCTGTATATTTAAGTATACCATAATTTCCTTAACCCATTTTTTTAAATTTCTGGGTTTTAGATTGTTTCTACTTATTTGCAGTTAGAAATAATGTTGTGGTGACATCTTTGTGTGTGTGTGTTTTGCTGTGAATGGATATTTCAAGAGGCAGGTTGCTTATTTGACTACAACTGTTTGATGATGACTCAGCGCAGTTGTACTCTGCTTAGTCTAATGGAAATGAGACAATGCATACCTCTTCTCTTTTCTGTAAGTTTTGTTTCAGCAGAGGAACTCTCTTCCCCCTCACTATCTTGAGACTGTATGAGAGAAATTAAACCGTAAAAGAGCAAAGCAGTACTCACAGATAAACTTTCTCTACTTTATTTGTTTAGGTTTCATGACTGTTTTTGTTTGTGGACCTCTAAACGTACTTTAGTAGCAGATGCCTGTGTTTGTCTGAATAGGTAAAATGAGCAAAGGAACGTGGAGGGAGAGCTGGGAGGAGTTGGCAGTTTGAAATGTGGGTGAAGCTAAGTAACCTTTTACAGATGGAAACATTGTCTTCAGAAGCCCAATGGTTATTTTTGATCTATCCTATTACTTTAGGCTTCTAATTTATTCTTTAGATACAGATTTTCAGAAACTCACAATCCTTAGAGTTTTTTTTTTTTTAAGTTCTTAATATCTAATCCAAATAAATATCTTCTGTTGTAGTTTAAATCTGCTCCCTCTTGTCGTATTCTTAGTGGACTCAGAATGACATCTGCTGTCACCCACACAGGGCCTCCTCAGAAATGAATTCACATATTACACTTCGCTTCAGTCGTTCCTTTCAAAGGGAAAAGAGCACACATACTTCAACTAATACTGTATTGACGCGAATGACTTCAGAACAGGATGGTAAAAAGAGTAAAGGTGCTCTTTCCTGTTCTCCACTTGCCCGCCTCCAAGACAGATGTGATTGATCTTTCATGACAGTCTCTCTCGGTGACTCCTAAGAAGGTCTTGGAATCTTGAACACAGTGCATTGAACAGCCACTACCAGTTGGTAGAAGTTGGCATGTGGCTTGCACTCTCTTTACCATACAGGCTTTAGAGTCTGTTGTTGCTATCGTAGAGAGATACTTAAGCACAATTGTCGTATTTTGAATGTTGTGCCTTCAGTTGTCTTATTACAGCTCTTTAAAAATTCTGTTTATTTTCTCCCTCTCAAAAGGTTCAACATACAAATTTAGGGTCATTGCCATCAACCATTATGGTGAGAGTTTCCGGAGTTCGGCGTCCCGTCCTTACCAGGTGGCTGGGTTCCCCAATCGGTTTTCTAACCGCCCCATAACTGGACCTCACATTGCCTATACAGAAGCCGTCAGTGACACTCAGATCATGCTCAAGTGGACGGTGAGTAGAACCTCTGCTCTAAGGAGAAGACTTTCTGGTTTGGCCATGTTGACAAGCAGTTTCATGTTCTCCTGACACGATACTGTGAACAGCAAATTTTTGAACTTTTAAGTGAGGAGAAATTGAAGGGCACAGATATTTGTCTAAAAGCATATATTATAAATGGGGCAGGGTTAAAAATAAAATTACTGTCTCCTCAACTCTCATATAAGTCCTAACTTAATTGCCATTTCATAATGTTTTTATATTGAACCAAATGTACATTTTTTTTTTTATGATTTTTGGCCCTGAGCTAACATCTATTGCCAATCTTCCTTCTTTTTCTTTTTTTTCTCCTCCCCAAAGCCCCAGCACCTAGTTGTATATTCTAATTGCAGGCCATTCCAGCTCTTCTATGTGAGACACCGCCTCAGCATGGCCTGATGAGCGGTGCTAGGTCCGTGCCCAGGATCTGAACCGGCAAAACCCTGGGCCGCCAAAACAGAGCACAGGAACTTAACCACGTGGCCATGGGGCCAGCCCCCAAATGTACTTTTATGTCTTTGAACCTCATGAAGTGAGCATATTGCTTTATTTTTGTTTAGCCCAGCAGTAAGCTAAGTGCTTTTTTTTTTTTTAAAGATTTTTTTATTTTTCCTTTTTCTCCCCAAAGCCTCCCGGTACATAGTTGTATATATTTTTTTTAATTTAATTTTATTTTTTTTAAAGATTTTTTTTTAAATTTTTTCCTTTTTCTCCCCAAAGCCCCCCAGTACATAGTTATATATTCTTTGTTGTGGGTCCTTCTAGTTGTGGCATGTGGGACACTGCCTCAGCGTGGTTTGATGAGCAGTGCCATGCCCATGCCCAGGATTCGAACCAACGAAACACTGGACTGCCTGCAGCGGAGCGCGCGAACTTAACCATTCGGCCACGGGGCCAGCCCCCATAGTTGTATATTTTTAGTTGTGGGTCCTTCTAGTTGTGGCATCTGGGATGCCACCTCAGCATGGCCTGATGAGCGGTGCCATGTTGGAGCCCAGGATCCAAACCGGTGAAACCCTGGGCTGCCAAAGCAGAGCGCATGAACTTAACTGCTCGGCCATGGGACCGGCCCCTAAATACTCTTAATACCTTTGAATATTTTTGAATTAAATTAAAAATGGCCAGCAAGGATGTTTGCAAAATGAAGCTAGAAATATATTACCAGATAAATAAATCTTAATGGATGTGAAAGTTACATTTATTTTTATCTTTGACAAATCTTTGCTTCTATTTTCCAGTACATTCCATCAAGTAACAATAACACTCCCATTCAAGGATTTTATATCTACTACCGGCCAACAGACAGTGACAATGACAGTGATTACAAGAGGGATATTGTAGAAGGTGAGTCCCATTGGCAGCTGGAGCCCCAGTAAAGGAGCTTTGAAGCGAGAGGGTTTGTAAATATTCAGAAAAACATCTTCCCAGGATAAGATAGAGTAAAAAATGGTATATGCACTATTACTTTGAATTTTTCCCAAAAAAGACAATTTTTCCTATTTAGTATAGAGATATAGTCTCTTACACTTTGGTTATAGAAAAAGTCAGTCAGAAAAGTATCAGGGAGATAATATTTGTCAGTAGTTCATCTGAAAAAACTGTTTGTTTTCTGTTTTGTTTCAAGGAATATAAAAATCAATTGCAACTTCTAGCTGTAGTTTAGAAAGTAATGTCTCAGTCAGCAGTTTCATTGATGCCTGTACTAGAAAGAGCACATCTTGAGCATGTTATCCACTTTTAGAGATGCTGAGAAATTGGAATATATGTAGACAGAAAAACAGTGATGGCTGTTGAAACTACCTTTCTATGGCATTTGAAACACGATCCAGAACTGTGCACATGGCCGGAAGGCCCCACTGATGTGGCGGCCCCTTCTACACCTCAGCCATGGCTCACGCACCCGCTCTTCTCACTGGGTCTTCTGTCACACACTGGCCTTCTCTCAGTTTCTGTGTGCGCAACACGAGTTTTCCTGCCTCAGGACTGAGGCACGTGGCAATTCCTGCTGCGTTCCTCTCCCAAGGCTTTATCGGCACTCTGCTCTTCTGTGGTCGTGTACTTAAACGTTACTTCCTCAGATAACCTCCGCCCCTTTCCATGAAGTACCCTTTTATAATTTCTAACTGTGCCGTTTATGTTTATTCTACAGAATTTATCATAGTTTTGATCTATGTGTGTGTGGGTATGAAATTATTTGCTTAAAGTTTGTCTCCCCCACTCAGTATCAGCCTCCTCGTGGGCAAGAGGCCTTTTGCCCACTGCTGTATCCCCAACCCCTACAATGGGGAGGCGTTTAGTATTTATTAAAAGCATGAAGTCCGAAAGGAAAGGCAATGTGTGGGATGACCAGGCTGGAAAAAAGATGACTAAGAGAAGCACCAGATATCTGTCTTCCAGGATTTAAGGACTGTTACGTGAAAGAGGAAGCCAGTCGGTTGAAGGAGGGGCTGTTAAAAGGAAATAGTGTAAGGAAGAAGCATCTAACATAGCATTTCTGCGGGGGGGTTCTCTCACAAAATGATAAACTCCATAATTTTGGAGGCGTTCCATCAAAGTTGGATGCCTGTTTCCCAGTAATATGTTGGATGGGCTTCACTGTGCTGTGTAATTTGCTTATTCCTTATTTTCAAGTTTATGCATTTGAAATTCTTTTTGTGGCAGTTGGAAGCTATTGGTCTGTTCTCCTAAACCCAGGAACAGGAGTATTTATCCTTTGTACGTAAAGTTTCTGGGACTTTGGGAGGAAAGTTTCTTCCAAGGTCTATTTTCACTGTAAGATTCTGATTCTTTGAAATATTAAATGTCCTAATGGGTCATGTCAGAAAATTGCCCTGGGCCAAGGTTATTTTCATATGACTTGTTGACATCAAACACTGCATATAGTTTTTGCTGTAAATAGTCTTGTGATAGATTATTTTAAATGTGCTGTATCATGTTTCTTTAAATATTGTAGAATTCCTTTTAATGTTTATCCAATGAAATTACTTTTGTAATATAATGAAAAGTTTATCATCTGAGTTTTAATACCAGCTCATAGTAGGAGCTCAGTAAACATTTTTCGAATGAAGGAATGATTGTTTCTCTTTTCTTACTCTGGAAAAGTAGGGAAAAAATTGGTCCCTAAAATCTGCCTTAAACATAAAGAATTGGGGAAATGTGGAAAGATAATTGCTAGTGGCAAAACTATTCCGGGAAGTCAAGAGAGCAGCTGTCTGGAGGGAGAGAAGGGACTGGAAGAAGCGCAAGGGGACCTTTGGGGTGCCAGTACTGTTGTCTTTCCTGACCCGGGTGTTGGTACCTGGGTGTGTGCAGTTTGTGAACATGCGGGGGGCTGTTCAGGATGTGGGTCCTTTTCCATGTGCATATTTGACTTCATAGGAGGGTTGTGGAAGAATGGAAGTGGAAAGAATTGTTAGTGACTCTTCCCACGTTTTCGTCCTAGCGAGGTCTTCATTTTAGTTCAGCTGGTTTAGGAGAGTGGAGCTGTCAGATTTTTATATTTAAAATCTTCTGACAGATGTTAAACATTTGTTATAAAATGGTTCTAAACAAGGCAAATGTAAATAAAATGAATGTCCTTCTTTGCCTCTGTCTCTCGCTCTCCCCCACGCTTCCTAGTTCTACTGTCAAGAAATATCCGCCGGTAAACAGTTTTTGAACCCTCTTCTCTAGTGCAGTCTTTGAACTCTTGCGAGCTTGTGTGGTGTGAATATTGCGTGTGGAACTGGGAAACTACTGTCAAGGAGATTTTGTCTCCAGTAGTCATGTGTGCAAATGTGCGGTTTGCCTTATGGTTCACGGAGAACTTGTTTATAAACGTCACAGGCGGAGCAGTACATGTTTAAGTGGGCTTCACTGTGCTGTGTAATTTGCTTATTCCTTATTTTCAAGTTTATGCATTTGAAATTCTTTTTGTGGCAGTTGGAAGCTATTGGTCTGTTCTCCTAAACCCAGGAACAGGAGTATTTATCCTTTGTACATAAAGTTTCTGTAAAATTTCTTAAAAGTTTTAGATTACGTATGTCTATTGACCCAAAATGGTTTAAGCTTTTGAAAAAAGTTTGCAACGCAATTAAATAGTTAAAGAATACATTGAGAGAACAATTGTTACCCTGTCTTCTGCATTAAGTTCCACATTTAGATGAACTAAATGTTTCCAGCATACTACTGTTTTGCGACGAATATTTTTATCTTGTAAAGTTAGTTCAGTTCCAAATAAATCAAAGTTTCAGTCATCCTGATTTTTAAATCTGTGCTTTAGTCTCTCACCTTTTCTAAAATATCCTTTTAGGGGAAAAAAATTGCCTGTTAAGCAGGGGTGATGCTGGTTGGTTGACTTTAAACCTAATAATGCACTTAGTTGTCTTATCATCTATCAATGATCAGTAAAACCTCGTTCTCTCTGCTGCTCTTTCGTGTAATTTTAGTCATTGGAATAATTACCATAGCAGTGGAATATTAATCTAACAAGATGTGTGTTATTTTAACTATTTTCTCTTATTAGTAACACATCAGAAGCTTAGTTTAATTCCATTTTTACTAGTACTGTGAAAGAAAAACTTCAAATCTAGTGTAGGGATTATTCAAGAGAATGTTTACAGTTAGGTGAGTAAAGGGCTGGGCCAAGAAAGACTCAGAACACAGAAAAAAATAGAAGTCTTTTAGAAAGTTTTTGGAATTTCAAAATAGGTCTATGCTAGTCTCAACCGGGTTTTGAGTCCAGATTCTTTTAGGGTCCTCTTTACAGTTATAAATGGGGCATAGAATTCCTCACTTCTTGAGCCTTTCAGAGTCTCTTGATCCTAAAACTAGCAGATTCGCTTCATTATGAAATATGGGTCTTTATGAATAAAGGGTTTTGTATTGGTGACCTGGAAAGGGGGTCGTGCTTCTGCATTGAAATATTTTTGTCTGTGTTGAATTAGAAAGGAGCCTGGTGATACTGGTCTTGTCAGCCAAGTAGATTTGACTTGTATATGTGGTTTTGTTTTGGTTTTTTTTCTCCCCCTTTAATTAATTCTGAAATCAGTTGGTGGTGTAATTGAGTTTCTAAGAAACAGTGGAAACAGTTTGAAGAGGTATTTTCAAAGAGGGATTAAAGGTGCTTGAAGAGTTAATTAAATCTAGCAGAAGTGTCCCTGTTTATTAAAGTTTGTCACAGGTCCGTGGATGTAAAAATGGAGAGTGATTTGCACTGGAGTGTTCGGTGTAGGAGTGTTTCTAAATGAACTGCTGGCTGTGTGCCATGGATAACAGAATCGTTCTCTTAGAGATGCTGGTGTGGTTTGGAGACCCTGACTCAAAAGAAAGGAAATAGTGGGAGCAGTAGCTGAGAGTTTCCCATAGTAGATTCTGCTTTTTGATTATTGTTAGCCATTTATCCAGGCCTTCGTTTATATGTCAGTTGGTGTCGCGTTCATTACAGTGGAAAGGAGAGTTTGCTAGGGCCTGTCTTGTAAGTGGTCCCTTGCTCTAGGTAGGACACTGTTTGCTGACCTTGTGTACAGTATTGCTTTTTCGTGGGTGGACAGAGTGGATCGACTTGCAGGGCTGAAACTGGGCATCAAAGGACTTGAGGGTTTTTTTAAACCTATGCATAAAATTAACATGTATTTTATGCAAGACTCACCACTAATTGTTTGTAGTGAAACGAAGTATAACTTTAATTCAGTTTATCTCTTCTCTTTAGCATTTTTTCTTGCTATGCAATAAAAATGCTATTTGCCAGTGCTGAATTACTAAAATACTTATATTAAGTACATTTTCGTTGCAACAAACTGTACTATATGGTGACGGATGCTGCTCCAACCTCCTTGTGAAATTATTACGTGATTGTATTGACATCATGACGTAGGTTGTATGACATGTAAAGCTCCTCTTTTCTTTTTCCTTTCTAGGTTCAAAGCAGTGGCACATGATTGGCCATCTGCAGCCAGAAACCTCCTATGATATTAAGATGCAGTGCTTCAATGAGGGAGGAGAAAGCGAGTTTAGTAACGTGATGATCTGTGAAACTAAAGGTAGGAGACGGGGGACACTTTGTGCTTTTTCCTGGACGGTGCTAGAATTCTAAACTCTGGACTGTCCCTTCTGACTGTTGGTGTATTCATCTAAGAAAATTTCTGCCTTGGCCTGTTTTGTAGGTACATATGTTTAGACTGTCCCAACAGAGAGTATAATATGTTGGCTAGAGCACTTGTCTGAAAAATAGTTTAAGTAAGCGTTAATCCTATTCATTAATTTCTCTGTGACTCAAAGTCACTCACTTCCTTTCTTTTTTTTCTGAATGAAGAGAATAGAAATATTTGCTGACTAACTATCTTCTGGGATTGCCATGAGAATTAGAATGCTAAAAAAAGTGTAAAAATTTTAAGGAAAAGTGCTACATATGTTTAAAATGGTTTCTTGGATGATAGATATGTATAACACTGTCTACTTGAAATTCTCAGCTCTGCCTACATACGTAAACTGTAAAATATTGCCATTTTTAAAAACAGAAGATACCACATGTGAGTGATAACATCAGCTAGTGTGGATACTTAGAAAGCAAAAGCACTCATGTCCAGTCCCAGTTCATCTGACAGAAAAAGAGACAGTTTCTTCCTTTGTCTGTTGACTGTTCCTTTCCTTTGTCTGTTGACTGTTCCTTTCCTATGTCTGTTTTTAAGAATGGGAAAATTTCTCAAATTGCTCTGGTAGATTCCCCCCCCCCCCCGCCGTGTCATTGGCCCTCCCAAACCACTCCCTGGAGTGGAGTGATTGATCGGGGTCTACGCTAGAGTTCTGTGGGGTTTGAGTGGACACCTAAACAAAGTTGAGGCTCTGCCAGCGTGGAAGACAGCTGTCACAGGGGCCGGGCAGCCGTTACTGTCTGCTGTAGGAGATTTCATTATCCCAGTTTAAAAATGAGGAAACTGAGGCTCAGAAAGATTGAATTATAAGCCAAGACTTAATTCCATTTTTTAATTCTAAATCACGTGTCTTTCTGCTGTAGAACCCACATATTAAATCCATATTTAAACATATATATAGACTTATATATATAGAGAGAGAGAGACTTATCTTGAATTGAGTGTCTTTTTGTACCGCACGCTGTGGTGTTTAATGAGTCTTTCTTACTTGCCTCTAAAATACTGTGATACTGGGGGTCAAATTAAATAAATGTGAAATTTATCTTCTCTGTTCCCAAGACGTTTAAGAATTTAGCCAGGCCAAATGGAAAACAACACAGACAACAATGTGATAACTGTTTTGTTTATAACAGTATAATAGTATAGCAGTATCTATAATAGAATTCCTCATTAATTGACTTTGCTGGGGAATGAAAGTTTCAACCTGCGTACCTTCAGATCAGTGCAAAACAAAATAACTTCTTTAAAATGTTAACTGTTCATACTGAATGAGTTCCTAAAATGGATTACACAATTCCCAGCCTGTTTCATTAGAACGTATGATATATAATTTAACCTTTTACAGAAATGACCCAAATTCTTGTTGTAAACAATGATTGTCTTATCTTTAGTCATTCAGTAAGGTTTTCAAGAGTCACAGAGGAGGGCAAGGCCAGCCATTTACCCCTCCCCTTCAGGATCATAGACTGTCATGATTTTCCTTTTGTTCTTTGATTTCTCTTTATGTTCTTCATCTCACCTTTCTCATTTCGGGTTCTTAGCTGTCTCTTCTTATTGATGTTAACGGGTCGTTTCACTCACCCTCCAACACAAGCCATCTGCCCTCAGTTTTCAACTTCAGCAGGAGGTTGGCAAGCAGAGCATCAAGCTTGATAGAATTACGACTAAATTAAGAGTAAATAAAGAGAGAGTAAACCTGAAAGACTTTCCTGTGAGTAATTATGATCGTTAGTGTATGATCTGTAACATCCACTTTGCCTCAGAAACTTGTTTGTTTTCTTTAGAATTGGCAGGAACCTTAGCACTGTACAATCCAACATACACCTGAAGGAGAAGTTTCCTTTAGTCTCTGCCAGGCATTCATCCACCTTTCAGTGAGGAGAGCTCTTTCCTTTGAGAGGTGGCCTTTTCTTTACTGATTCCCAGCTCTGTTCTGTGTAGTTGAAGTTGCTAGAAAATTGAACTGCAATATGGTGTTGCTTGAAGTAGATTTTTTTAAAGACCACTCTGCTCCTATGTGGTGTTAGGAACCATACCAGGAAATACAGTATAATCACTAATAGTAATAACAAAATTGATTGAATACTGCCATATGCCAGGCTCTGTTCCAAGTGCTCTACAAGGATTAACTCATTTGCTCTTCATCATGTTATTATCTTCATTTTCTACATGTGGAAACTGGTTCATGGAGGTTAAAGTCAGAGAGCTAAGGATGGGTGGTGGAGCTGGGACAGAAACCTAAGCAGTGTGGTTCCAGAGACCAGGCTGTCAGCCACTATGCTCTGCTGCTTTTCTATGACATTTAGAGCGTTAAGAGCATATTATTTGGGGACAGAGAGAATGGGGTTTGAGTCTCCCGTGTTGTTCACTTTTGTTATCACTATCACCCCAAATACCAATGAGTTAGGTAAAAGTGCTACATTTATGTGGACTCCAAAAGTTTTTGGTTTTGAATGCTTAATATTATGTGTGAGGTGTTTGGAATTGTATATAATTGTTCTGTTAGTCCAAAGTCATATCTTCTAATACTAATCGTATGGGAGAGACATAAAATATGTAATTTCAAGTCTTATTCAGCTCAAAGTGTATCAGATAGAAAGGAGTTTTTGTCCCATACATAAGCTGACATACTTTTAATTCACCTCTTTGGGAGTCTTCTCCAAGTACAATTGAGCAGATAATCCTACAGCAGTTTGGGTTAGACTATATGTTTCTCTGTTCTTAGGATTTCTCTAGAATTTGTGGACTAAAACTTTGGCACATCAGATTTTTCAACTTTCGAGCCCTCTTTGTTACTCATTGGTGGTCAGATCATCTCAGTAACAAGTGTAAACAGACTGGCTTGCATTCCTAACCAGACCTCCTTCAGAGAGTAAACCATTTCATAGGGTCTGCGTTCACTCTGACATCATGTTTTGCTTTATATTTCAACTAGTGAAACGTGTTCCTGGAGCTTCTGAGTACCCTGTCAGAGACCTGAGTACCCCTCCCAGTTCTTCAGGAAACGGGGGAAATGTTGGGCCTGCAACCAGCCCCACCAGAAGCAGCGATATGTTGTATCTGATAGTTGGCTGTGTGCTAGGTGTCATGGTCCTCATTCTCATGGTTTTCATTGCAATGTGCCTGTGGAAGAATCGCCAGCAGAATACCATACAGAGTAAGTCATTCGGAACATTTCCTTCTCTTTTTCTAAAGATGGGTAGAAAAATATTGTCAGAATAAATATTGATTTCCAAACCTTTGGTGTCATGGTATAAAACACATTAGATACTCTCCATTCAGAGGAGGTGACTTTAAGACTGTTCTAGCTGTCAGCCAAAGTAAGTGGAGCATCAAATTAAATTGCCCAGTAGAACTAAACAACAAAGCCAAAACCAGGCGGCTCTCTAAATAAATAGCTGACTTGGTGCTGGGAAACGGGCTTTGTCGGACCACCAAAGAGGACGGATACTGCAAGCATGAGCTCTGGACTTGCTGTGGGAACACCTTCCACTCTACAGTCTGGTCCACGGGGAAGAGAAAAGCCATGATGGGAAGGAAGGTCGTGAAGACTTTTCTAAGTTTCTGTCCCTGAATGACGCAAATGAAGATATCACGGTCCTGGTTCGGTGCCTGATGTCCCCAAACTGCTCTGGGGCGGCGTCAGCTTCCCCCCGAGGCGCACCTGAGCTGCCAGTGATGGCGCTGCTTTGGAACAAAGAGCCTAGACTGCTTTTCCTTTTGCTTCTCCCTCAGTTCTCTCCCCCTCACTGCGTCCCTTTCCCATTCCTCCAGCTGTTATAAAGTAGGATAATCAGAGCCAGCAGGGGCTGTGGTCTCAGGTGGGAGGAAGTTTTTTCTTTCCCCTTTGCCCCCAGAATAAGGGAATGAAAGGAAAGCAAAGGAAGACACCAGCAGTGACAGGCGCTTCCAGCAGCTGGCAGCTGGTTCCCACGTTTGGTCCCTTTTTAGTTATTAGCTCAGGGGGGAAAATGACTTACTGTGTCGACTTGGTGCCTTCCAGGAGATAGGCAGGGGGAGTGCGGTGGTGCCACCAGCTGAAGCGGTTGGAAATCATTTGATTGGATCTTTTCTTTCCTAAACCATTTCAATGTTGATGAGTTGATTCTGTGAGTGTATGCTGAATCATTAAAAGAAAGGTTTTAATCTGGTTGAGCAAGATTAGTCTGGTTGAAGTCATTTTCCTTTGTGACTTGATAGTATATTTTAAAATGGAAATTTATCACAGTAGTGCTCATTCAGTGATTCATTCAAAAGGGCCTCATGGACTCTCTTCTGTGTGCCAGGCACTGTGGGAGACAGTGGAGATGCAATGGGAAATAAGGTGCCAGGGTCTCTGCCCTCTCTGTTTATAGTTTAGTGAAGAAGATGAGCAGACATACTGGCAGTAACACACCTGTGCGAGAGGTTCAGTAACCAGGCTGGGGACACCTCACCCACCTTGGCGTGCTCTAATACACCTTGCTAATACCTTTGAAGAATTTATCAAAACTCTGACAACAAATCTCATACAGTTTAGATGCTGTACTTTCTAAGGAATATCTCACTTTTTCTCAGTATATCTGGTAGATGTACCTCTGGAAATCAGAATTTTGAGGCAGCTGTTTAAATGCCTTTAATAAAAGGAAATGGAATAATTAGACTTTTGCCTTTAATACTCCTCAACTTCCAAATTGGCTGTAATAACCAAGGGACTATGTGAGTAGTCAGTGAACGTATACACAACTCCATCCTTTTACTCAAGTGTTGTGTATTGCTACTTGGAATATCCTACCTGAAGTTTGCCTTTTGTTGTTGTTGCTTTATATGGTTTCTTTTGGCAATTTGAAGTGTGGGAGTTTGAACACTTTTTCTAAGTGTTGTCAGTACTTTGATAGTTTCGACTTGCACAGTTTATTAATTCTCTTTTGAGTAATTTCTCTCTGGTTAATTTCTCTTCCCGTTAACAGAGTCATAATTAACTCAAATTTCCTAGCTCCCTCCACACTGTAAGGGAAATGACAGCAGTAACTTTGTTACAGCACGTCTCACGAGTAGGCAGTAAGTGAACACCGTCAGAGTGTTATATTTTAGTGTGTTGTGGAGGTTTCATTCATAAAACTGCCTGAGAAAGGAGATTGTCCTTTTCAGTTTCTTACTTTTTTTCTTTTTTTTTTTTTTCTTTTTTTTTTTCTTCTCTCTTAACAGAATATGACCCACCGGGGTATCTCTGCCAAGGACCAGATATTAATGGGCAGATGGTGGAATACGCCACTCTGCCTGGCACCAACCGGATAAATGGAAATGTTCATGGAAGTTTCATAAGCAATGGGGGTCTCAGCAATGGCTGCTCCCATCTTCACCATAAGGTCCCTAACGGAGTCAATGGAATTGTGAATGGGAGCTTAAATGGAGGCCTTTACTCTGGGCACACGAGCTCTCTAACCAGGACACGTGTGGATTTTGAACATCCTCGTCATCTAATGAATGTAAGAGACCTAATTATGAATAAAAGCCTTCCCCATGGCCCGCAGTGCCAGCTACAAGAACAGGGTTGCCATGCTTGGCTTTTTTCAATCTAGAAAGCTCAGAGGTTCTCTGGAATGGAAATAGTATATATCACGGTATGATCCAGAGTAATCATTGTAAGCTTTCTGTTATTGGGTAATAGTTATATTCATCAATTTGGTTTTTTTAGAAAAAAATTATTTAGCACTGACAGTAGAACACCAGTAACAAACTGACTGGAAGTTATTCTTGAGATGAAACGGAAATACCGTTGGGTGTGGACCAGACCAGATACTTTAAATTTGATGTGTTTAGAGTAGAGTCTAAAAACCCCTATGCCTAGAGGAGTCAGGCAGATCATGAAATGGAGTGAAGTGAGTTGGCAATGAGACAGTGGAGGTGGCGGGAGCAGCCTGGAGGGCCGGCGTGCTCTTAGAGCAGCTGCCGGAATTCACCTCTTGGTGGCATGCAGGACTGGGGGCCCATGTGGCCAGGTTTTCTGATATTTCAAAACATCTGTAAATCTACATGAAATCGCCAGATTTTTTACATGTTGACCACTAATTCCGACTTTTGAAAGCATTGCGTCGGCCGTGCAGAACATATCCGTAGGCTGCCAGATTGTGGCTTCTGCCCTTCCCTGAGTTTCTTTCTGTTTTGTCCAATGGGTGTTGTTGTTGCCTGTAAGATTTTTTTGCATTTTACAATATTAGTATTCTTCAGCCAGAAGGAGTGATAAAACCTTTACAACTACTTTATTGGGGGATAGCTCGCTGATATAGTTAAATTTTTGAAACGAGAATAGAATGACTAGCGTAGTTTAGATTTATGCTGCTTAGAGAGGTTCCCTGCAACTGGGAAGTCTGATTTATTACATCGTGTGGATATGCAGCCACATTATTTTTTAATCAAAGGGATAATTTGTTTAGTTGAGCAAATTAAGCACTCATTTAGTTTTTGTCACTGTTCTGATTACAAATAAATTTGCCATAACCCACCGTGTGCTAAACTTTGAAGAAGTTTAGAATTGTTTTCATCTTCGACTTTAATAAGATTTATTAAAATATTACACGTGGAGAACAAAACTATATATTTGTGTCCTCAAGCTAGAAATCCTAATGGCTTTCTTGTGACCTAGCTTTAGTATGTTGAGGAAAAAATCTTTAATTTGGTTTGGTGCATCTCATTACCAAAAGAGAATAAGGATTTCATTATTTTGTGTGGAAAGACGTGGCTTATATTCAGACTTCCTAAACGTTTTTTGTCGCCATCCCTAGTCTAGACTGCCAGCATTGTCCAAGAAACTGAAGGAGAGAGCGTTAAAGTTTGAATAGCACATGCTGTTAACATAAGAAGTAAAAATTAAGTCTGATGTTTGCCGTGCTATTTGAACATAGTACTTTGGGTTTTTTGAACAATGAATTGCTATTTAAATACTAGTTGCCTGTTAGGTGTACAATTTTAGATGTTATCTGTGGTTTTAGCTCATTAGTTTACTTCCTCTTCTGGGTGGGAGGAAATAGGGAAATTTTTTAAATGCTGGTGATCATAAAAATCATTGAATTAATGGTAATATGTTTAGTGATTCAAATAAGTGCGTCACCCTGTAGGTTGTTAACTTCGTCTTCTGAAGCTTTGGTGTTTACCCTCATGGATTGAGTATAGTACAGGAATATTCTTTCTCTCAATGTTTTCTTTAAAATTCCTGTCGCTAGTTGGATCAAGAATGTTGAGAGAAATTTTCGGTACTTTTGGTTTGCTTAGATTCTGGCTGTTGTTATGAGATGAATGGAAATGGAAAGTATTCTGGGAAAAACAATTGCCTGAACTTTTGCTAACCTTGAGGGCCTGCTCTGGGTTGGGTATAGTGTGACAGCCTCTCCCACCCTTATCAAGTTCAGTTCTGCTGTTTTTCATCCGAAAGCAGAATTCTGACTCTGACATAAGGCTAGTTCAATTCCCAACTTCAATTTTGAAGAACTCTTGCCATTGTATATGTCAAGTGAACATTTTACAATGAGGTATGTGTTAATCTGGGCATTTTTCTTAATTGCTGGGCAGTTTCCGCCAAAAGCAACATCCAAATATTAATACTCCCCTCCAAGTCATTGCTGGCTGAGAATCGACTCCATCTGGAAAAATATAACATGTTTTAAAACTTAGTGTAGTCAAGTGAACAGACCTAATCGAAATAATTACAGGAAAATGAAGATGGGTTTATCTTGTGACATAATTGAAACAGATTTCCACCCTTTTTCTCCAACTGGCATCACAGAAAATTCTTCCACGACTGCTATAAAAGTCAAAATGAATAGGAGGTTATAATGTGTAGTGTATTTTGGGTCCATTAGATTTGAAACACTGAAGGGAAGTGACTAAACTTCTCCCTTCATTTATTTGCCTCTTTCCAGTACAAAAATACATGGAAAAACATGGCAGTTAAGTTTTTAAAGTACAGTTTTAATATTGTTCAGAACTCATTTGTGAAGACAGGTAAATAATGACAAGCATATCATTGCTCAGGGAGGTGGTTAAAAGGTACCGTGTATCCACTGATTACTGACATGGTTCTTACACTCAAAAGTCTTTGGTTACTGCTCTGGCACCTTCAGCACTCTTTCTTCTTCTCTCTTTCCCTGTATGTCCTTCCTGACAAGGGTGGTGGAATGTACACAGCAGTACCTCAGACTGACCCGTTGGAGTGCATTAACTGTCGAAATTGCCGGAACAACAATAGGTATGTTGATATGTATTTGCACAGGTTGTTGTGAGTAAGGTATATGACTCCTATTATTCTTTCCCTTTAGCAAAGGAAGTTCTTGGGATTTACCTAAGATATAAATCTCAGAATACAGAGTCTTAATTTTAAGGCCATTACTAATTTTTTGCCCCTGCTTTACAATTTTTATCTTTCTGTACTTTGCTTTCTTTAGCTATATAATGGCAATATTAAAGACTTTGTTTCTCACTGAGATGTCATTAAAAGGTTTGTTGTTTTTGAAGTCTATAAATTAGACTCAGTCTGTATAACAGACTTTATCTTTCCTCACCTGTTATTTTCTACTCTATGTTATGTGATATTTCCTAATCTGCGTTGTGAATGAGAGCATATTTGAAGGCTAGGAAAAAGACCTGTGTATACGGTAATGTTTTTCCATAGTAATGTTACTGAAATTTTCTTACCACATTTTTCAGGTTTTTTTGTTTTTTGAAAATTCTTAAAACCTTAAGATAATTAAGTAGGAAAATCTCATTTTCTTTTAATTTTTTGTTTTTAATTTCAAAAGTAATGTGTACTCACAGTATTTCAAACAATAGAGAACTATGTGGAGTAACATATGCGTTTAAATTTTGACAACATTCAGAAAGCTTTCATGCTGCCCCTCTGTGTATCAATTCCAAAGGATTATCCATTTTTCTGTTGTGTTAAAATTGTGTCTGTCAGAAATCTTAGATCTTGCTTTTATTTAATGATGGTTTTGGGCTACATGGTCTCAAAAGTCCTTTCCAGCTCTAAAACTCTACAATTTCAAAATTGTGTTATAGTTAGTACGTAAAATAACTGGAGTTTGGACATTTCATTATTGAAGTGAGATTTGATTTATGTTTTTAAAATGAATGATAAGATTAGGAGTTGTGTCTGGGAGTTATCAAAACCAGAACTGGAGGCAGGATCTGGCCAACCGTAGAATTGAAAGTACCTTCTCTCCGCGTGTGTTTTGAGAGCTGCGGAACAAAAGCCACAAAGCTTCCTGGAGATTTTTCATTGTCGTTTACTTAACCCATCTTAGGGTTTCTGTATTAGCAAGAGACATCTGCCTGTTTTGTATACTAAGATGTGCATTTTACATTTTAAAATTCTGTATGACTCTAGCTGAATTTTAAGATCTTCATAACATTGAAGCTACATTTCTGTCCTGAGCTTGTCAAAGGCTTTATCAAAATTTGTTGGGAAATGCTAAATAACTGGTAAAGATGCTTCATACACCTGGGAAGTAATCAGATGGACTTAATTAAACAAATGGCATTGCCTAAATACGTGATGTGTTTTCCTTTGTGGTTCTTGTGGCCGTCAGCAGATCTTGACTCAACCTAGACATTCAAATGATGTTATGAGAGAACCGCTGGTCTAAGGATAAGTAGCTGTAGACTTTGTCACTGCTTAAATCTGTGATTTTGGGAAAGTTATATAATCTCTCTGAGGCTATTTCCTTATATGAAAAATGGAAAATTTTCCTAGGTCATGTAAAATCACCTCCAACATACTCTGTTTATAGATTTTGGAAATTTGCTGCTAATCACATCTTCATGGTGAGATATCGTCCCAGAATCAAAAACGCATCCCATTTCCTTAAAAGAATTTAAATGACCTCTACCATCATCATTCATGGCCATTTGTATGTGTGTGAGTGAGTGTGTGTGTATAATATTTGAGGTTTTCTATTATACATAATTTTTTGCTTTAAGACAATGGACAATTGTATTTCACTTAATTTTAAAGTCAATGACTTCTTGCATTTTATGTTTGGGGGTTTTGCTTTTATGTGAGAACATAGGTGAATTCTCTTCAGCCCAAGAAAATCAGCTTCTGTTTCTCCCTGGCGCAACCCTTCCTCTGACATGCGAGTAGACCTGTTTAGGGTGGTGTCTACTTGCTGCCCTGCCTCCCTGCCCCCAGGAGCCACTGTGTGATTTTGGTAAATGTCAATAAGTACCAACTTCAACTCTGGAAAATTGGAGTCATTCAATTTAAAGTTTCTAACTCTTTTAACTTTGAAATTGAATACGTGTCTACTTTCAAGATCCCCCAAAATGGCAAAATTTGTAATAAGCTTCAAATACTTAGAGGTAGATGATATACAATTTACCCCAAAACATGCACAATTTTAGTCAATTTATACTTTTAGAATATCAACATTATTACTAAGAATGAATTTTCTTTTCCTAATGCCACCTGAGATAGTGTGTACACAAAATGAGGCCTAATTTCAATTAAGTTACATGAGGGCTGTCAGGCGAGCATTTTAGAGTTTTTGGCTATTCGGTCAAAAAAACATTTGCTGCGCACTAGTCGGGTCCTGGAACAGGTTCTGAGGTGTTTCCAGGCAGGAGGAATTGTGAGAAGTCCTGGCAGTAGAAAGGATAATGTTTACCTAGTGGTAAACAGTTCGTGGTTATCAAACTTCAGCCTTCACTAGAATCACTTGGGGCGCTTGTGAAAACACAAATTACTAGGCGTTACTCCTAGAGTTTCTGATTCAGCAGGTCTGGGGTGGCGCCTGAGAATGTGCATTTCTAGTGAGTACCCAGTGATGCTGGTGCTTCTGGTCCTGGGACGCTGCTTTGAGAACCACTGGAATAATCTGGTTGGTGAAATACAGGTAGAATAGTAGGATATACAACTGGAAAACCAGACTGAGTTTATATGATGGATGATCCTGAATGTCACGGTTTAATCATGTATTTAATAATGATTTATCGAGAGCCTACCATGTCCTAGGTCCTGGCCCAAGTACTCCCTCCACAGAGCCCACAGTCTAATAACACAGGCAGAGCTCAGAATATAGTGAGTAGAGTTTTAAGAAACACCATTGAAGCATATAATTTTATGTTTAAGGAATGGGAAAAAATCCCTGTTGTTTGTGTAATATAAAGTACAGTTATGAGGGATATGAGATTTTTACATAATCAAAAGAGGGAGATATGGGTTAAATGTTGAGAAACACTGGGCTAGTAGCATCATGATTCTTCCAAAGGTTTTTGAGAAGGGCAGCATCGATTCAGAGATGTACTTAGGTTTGGTTCATGATAGCATTACACAGGTGGGGTCGGAGGACAGAGGCCACTTAGATGATTGCTGTGGTGAAGGCCTTAGCCTTCTTGCATGGGGATGGGGGTAGAAAGGAAGAGATGAATGGGATTCTAGAGTTGAAATCTTTAGGATTTGACCATTGACTGGCAGGGATCTAGAAAAAAGGAAGGTTCAAAATGAATAGAAAGTTTCAAATGTGGATGACTTGGTAACTGCAGTGGTGATTGTCACAGAAATAAGAAACCTAGTAAAGTGATACCTTGAGGAAAAGTGATAAATTTGGTTTGGGGCATTTAGAGTTTTGATTGCCAGTTGGATATTCCACAGGTGACTGAAAACTGAAGAGGTCTTGCTTCAGACCTCTTCCATAGGGAATCTTACCCACACTGAGTCCTGCTGCTCGGATTCTTTCTTCTCTGCCTTCTTAGGGTTAAACTTAAATGTGTTTCTTGGAGTGGGCTTTTAAGAAACGAGTCATTGCCGACCTTAGACCCTTTTGTCATCCCTCTATTTTAGTAATAACTATCTGGAAAGAAAATTTTGCCTTTATTGTTGAAACTGAGGTAGCGATATGAAAACTTGAGAGTAGGTAAGGGGGAATGAATGCACACTGTAGCAGTCTCTGGAGTTTTATGTGATTCTAAGTGCTTTTGTGGCGTGTTATAAATGACTGTCTGCTTCACGGTGTTCAGTTAATTTGAACCCTTTTCAGGTTTAAGAGTAATGTGTAATAGCTAACTATGAACAGCTAGACAGGAGCACATTTAACGCAGCTTTGCAGAGAGCTTGTCCCCTAACTATAGACTTATTTGAAAAATCCTTGTGCAATTTGGGCATTTCAAGAGTTAAACAGATTTTAATCAAATAAATCAAAATCTTTTCCCTCCTCTTCTCATCTCCTCGATTCAGAAAGCAGTGGCGCAGTTCTGGATATGTAATCAAATGTGGTTTCTCAGTTGCTTGGCTAGTTTAATGGGAAGGGATTGACATTAAATCTGGTCTGTTTACCATCAGTCTTGATAATTTGTAAAAGAGTCAAGAGGACACTGATGAAATTCACAGATGAACGAACTGGGAGATCCCATCAGGAAGGAACAAGAAATTAACTGTAAGGGTCTTAGAGAGATTGGAAATGGGCAGGAAGTAGCCAAGTAAAAATCAGCTTGGAAGAATGTATATAATCCATCTGGGAAAAAAGCACAGGCTATATACATGGCTGAGAGTCAAGAGAAGAAAAATTATTGGAAATAGTGCCTTAGAAAACACAGATATTACAAATGATCTCTAAGTTTTTGCATAATGATAACCTTAAAAGTCTGTGTACTGTTGGGTTTGGGATGCTTTTTCACCAACTTGAAACCTTCTACTGGTGTCAGATATACTGAGATAACAATAGTGTGTAGAGATGAACGTGAAAACGTTTCATTATAGTAGTAGTTCTGTAGGGCTAGGGTTTGATCTGTCTACTCAGTTGGTTTAAGTATGAAAACAACTACTTGTCTAGGACACCTCAACTCTCCTCCAGCCATCAGTCTGTTACGATTCAGGCCCTCTCCTGTTCCTGATCACCTAGCTACTTCAGAACCAGCCATAAAGCCAAAGGAAGAAAACACACAAAACCAAAGATTCGGTTTCTCTTCCGTCTGTGGTGATCTGCATAATTCCCTAAGAAAAAAGTTCAAAACACTGTCTAATTTTTTAAATTGATCAGTGCCTTCCTTTAGGGGAAGTTGTCTATCTCCTACTTATAACATGGTAACTGTGGGTCTGTTGCTGGGAGTCAGGCGGTTAGGGTAGTGCTTTTGGTCTTTTGTTTGTAAGATTGTGTGTGTTAGCTTGCCGTGTTCAGTAATGTACTCAGTTGTTTATTGTCACCCGGCATTTATTATCACCTATAATGTGACAGTCACCAATAAACTAATTCCCAAAAGGAAGCTCCCGCTCTCAGGCTGGGGTCATTGCAATATCCAACAAAGATGTGCAATGAGAATAGAGGACAGCCATGGCCCTAGAGGAAGGTCACCAGGGTTCTGTTGCATAATAACTGATGAATTCCCAAAAATAAGGGCCAAGTCAGCAAAATGACGGAGACACAGTGACGAGAGGAAACAGCAGAGGTGAGCCGAACGTTAACACAACCCGGCACCAAGATGTCACTGTTTCAGAAGTCTCAAAAACATATTCGTGACCTTAAGTGTCACAGATGCAAGAGATTCGTGAATAGTTACTCCTTGCCCTCCAGGGATAATTAAAAGAGGAAACTTAATGCAAAATTCATATAATCATCTAATCAGAGTAAATCTTTACATAATCATGCTTAATAAATATTCAGTTGTGCAATCAGAAACGGAATACTTCTCTAGAAAATATTTCAGAGATGCTGTATAGTTTTACTGGAAGGTCCAAAATGTGTTGAGTTAAATAGAGCGCTCTTCCCAGCACAATCCTCTGCTAGCGTCCCAGTCTCTTATTTCCTAGTCTGTGCTGTTCAGATTGTTGGTCAAAGATTATTTTAGTCTTTTTTATGGCACTGTAACAGTCATTTTCCTGTCTTACAGGTTGGTCAGACAGGCCTCTCCTGTTGACTAAAAGATCTTTGTAAACTAACAGGTCCCAGACCACCTGAATTCTTGGAAAACAGCACAAATTTTTGCATGTGGCAAGATGCACGGAGTTCTATTTACTGAGTGTCTTTAAAATTAAGAAAAGTAGTTTCACTGAGCCAGAGACAACTCTGTGAAAACTTTCAGTCCACCTTAAGCCAGTATTAACTACAACTGAAAGATTGTTTGAGAACCTAAGAAAGTGAAATTACAAACTCTGTATTGTATCAACTGTAAAACGTGCATTGTAAGAGCGTCTCAGTGAACGTCATCTATTTGCAGATGTGGACATTTGTCCTGTTCTCTTTTGCTACCTGTAGATTTGGCTCTCTTACGTTTGTGATATACAGATATTATTTTTGTGATTATCTGATGGCTTCAGAAATTTTAATTAAAGCTTTATCAGTAAAATTATTTTTACATGCTATATACCTAATTACGTTCAGAACAGGTGTTATCTTCCTTTTTTATAGACTGTGTCCTTTATGCTTATCTCTTAGCATGTAACCCCCAACTTAAAGCCATTTTTTATGCTGACACATAGACATCTGGAACTGCACTATATGACTGAATTAGTGACATTCGGTTATTTACATGGTTAATCCCTGATGATCATGACTTAGGAATCAGTGTGCTAGAACATTGTAAGTCAGTTTGGTTTGTTGTGTTGAAATTTGGGTTACCGTCACTGCAACAGTCTAACTCAAATTGTGATCTCACTACCAGCACCCCTCTGCTAATTGCGTCTCATTTCAGAATAAAGGTAAACACTGCTGTGGCTTTCTGTCTCACTTATCTGAAACATAGATGCTGAAGAATAGGTAATAACAGTTGGTACTTTTGTCTTCTTAGTTGTCTGTAATTTCTTTTAAAACGTGTGTATTTAATCGGCTTGTTGACTCCCTGCACATGAAACCAGGTGACAGTGTCCGCTCCTTACTGTCCGCTGTGGTTGGCCCTGGCCCTGTCTTGACCGTTCCTTCCATCCTGCCCCAGCCGTATGATCCACCTTCACTGTCACTTTCACAAAAGTGTGTCACACCCACACTGTTAGACTGCCCTCTTACTTCATTTTAAAATCTCATTCTTTGCTTTAAATTAAAGAAATGAGCAGAGAAAAAGAAACTAAGAGGAAAGAAACAGAAGAATTTAAGGCATCTTATTATCTGGTAAGTCCTCGTTATTTTATGTCAACATTATGAAATTTCACTCACGTTAGATCTTTATAAACAAATGATTAATTTAGAATATTTTCTTTTTAGGGAACAGCCTTGGTTTTTCAAATCCTGGCAAGTATTTTTTTTTTCTAGAGCTTAACTTCAGTTCTTTTAAATGAAAAGTTTCCTTTCTGACCTGATGCTTTTTTGTCTTTTAGGTTTCCAGTATCTCTGAATTACGTCTAGATTTTTATTAAGGGCCTGGCTGTGCTATAATACATCCCACTGTTCTAAGAGCTTCCTCTGCCACGGGACAGGCATTGCCTGTCCTCCAGGAAAGTGAAGCATCAGACGACTTGGAAGCCAACAGATTCAAGAAGAGCCAGACAGCAGAGCCAATATTGAACGAGGACAAAGGTAACAACTACTGTGATACAAAAATCTCAAGGAGTAGGTGTACCAGTTCATCCTCACTGGGATACACGTGTCTTATCTTGGTATTGGGTATGGTCTCTTGTAAGGTATTTTGGCTAATTAGTTTAACTGTTGCTCCCTGATAATTACTTGCTTAAGAGAAAACGTATAACAAAGGTCTGATGTTCTAATGTTTATTATTTATTTATTCAGTATTTTTGAGGTCCTACTCTATGCCATTTACTATGCGCTTGCTGCTGGGCATTATGACTTTAATTAGGGTCTAATCTACATTAGTACTTCTACCACTTCCTAGACAAAAGACTTTGGAACGGTTTAACTCCGTTTCCGTCTCCAGTGTTTTGTGTTATTTTTACATATGTTTTCTACAAATATTTAAAATCCTCTACGACATTCCAATTACCATTTTTTGCAGTCAATAATTATTCAGAATTCCTGAAATTACCTTTTTTTGTTGCTGCTAGTTTTCTTTTCCATTTCCTTTCTTCTGTCTGTGGCTCCTCATTTTCCTTCACCTTGAGCTCCCTTTAGTATTTCTTGTAGTACAGGTCTGAGGGACAGATCCTCTCAGTTTTTTGGTCTGAAAATGTCTTCAATTCATCTTCCTTTTTGAAGGATATTTATCACTGTTTATTGAATTCTACTTTGCCACTTACTTTCTTTTTGTACTTTAAAGATGTCATTCCATTATTTTATTGCTTCTGTCATTTCTGTTGACAAATCATCTGTACAGTTATTAGTGCTTTTTCAAGATAATAATGCCTTTTTTTTCCTGGATGCTTTTATGATTTTCACTTTGTGTTTTGCTTCCATCATGTTAATTATTCACATCTGAAAGTGTAATTTTCTTTGTATTTATTCTGCTTGGGGCTCATAGAACTTCTTGAATCCATGGCTTTAGTTTTCCTCCATTTTAGGGAATTCCTAGCCTTTATCTCTCCAAATATGGCTTCTGTCCCGTTCCCCCTTTTCTCTCCCTCAGAGAGACTCTAGCTGTACTTATTGTTGAACTTTTCACTATACCTCATATGTCTTTTAAGCTTATTCCTATATTTTCCATCCTTTTGTCTCTCTGCTTCAGTCTGAATCCTGTGCAATCCTGTACAAGCTTCATGTTCAGTAAACCTCTGCCCATCTGTGCCCAATTTGCTCTTAACCCCATGTATTGGGTTCTTAATTTCAGCTATTCTACTTTTTAGTTTAGAAATTCCAAATAATAATTATTATAAGATTCTAAGTCTCTGCTAAATTTCTCCATCTTATCTATTTTCTTGAATATATTCATCCCACTCTTTTAAAGTCTTTGTCTCCGAACGCAATATCTCCATCACTGTTTTTCTCTTGTTCCTCTCTCCTGATGTGCCTCGTAATTTTTAACTGAATTCTGGACGTTGCATGTAAAACCCCGTAGAAGCTCTGGAAGCTGCTTTTTCCTCCAGAAAGGATTGACTTTTGCTTTGGGCAGACCATTAGGCAAGAGGCAGATTACTGTAACCCAATTGGGAATTGAGCTGATTTAGTGCTGAGTTTTGGTCTTTGTCTGTTCCTGCTTCACCATTGTTTTTACAAAGTAACCCTTCTGGGGTCCAAGTTAAAGGCCTGGGGTGTTTACTATCTCTTTGGTAGGCTGTGAACTCCAATTTCTGTCTTTCAGCCCCAGAAAACTGCCAAAAGTTCTGCTGAGCTGCTTTAGCTTAGCACTTTCTGCTTGACGTCTCAACGTCTCATCCCGCTCTCAATTGGGCAGATGCCTCAAGAGGAGAGTGGTGCTGAAACTCAGGTTCACACTTACCTTCTCTCTGGACTCTCAGCCGCACAAGTGCTTTGATAGCTGTCTGATGACTTCAACAGATTTAAAATAAAACTCCTCCATCTTTTTCAGTTGTTCTTGGCAGGAGAGTTGTGCTGATACAAACTAATCAATCATCGCCAGAGCCAGGAATTTAATTTTTAAGTATTATTTCCAACAAGTCAGGGTAGCCATATAGATTCCCCTGACCAGAGATACTTCTGGTTTGTTGAAATCAGAATTCTTTTTACTCTCTAATTCCACAGTTGTTGTCTAGTATAATTTCCTCAATTATGAGACAGTTGAGTCTGAAATAGTATGGAAGAATATACACTGGTCTGTAGTTGGTAATGTGGCAAGCACCCTATTCTCTTCGGCCATACATCTCAAAGTTGGATGCTCCCAGTGTCTTTTGTATCTTCTTTTATAACACTTACTGCATTATGTTGTAACCATTTGCTTACTTGTCCATCTCCTCTGCTGGACTGGGAGCTGGAACGCTGCTGTATTTACCTTTATATTTTCAGTGCTTACCACAGTGTCTGACATTTAGAAGATATTCAGCAAATGCTTTTAAAATAGACGGTTCTTCTGAGTAAGGTTATTTATAGAGCTGGATAACATCCATTAAATTCTCATTGGTAGTAGTTTGAATTCAGAAAAGTTCTTTTTTTGCCTCTGACCTTGCCCCACATTTTGGATGAATACCCCATTTAGAGTCTGATTCTCATAAATTGAATACATGCAGATTTTCAGGTTCCCTGGCTATTGAGACAGTGAAAGAGACTAATGACAAAATATAAGAAGGGAAGAGACTGATAACATGGACATTTTTAAATGGCTGTCAGGAGATTAGTGCTACCCCTTGCCAGCATCCTAGAAAAGTTTTTTAAGTTCAGAGTTGAATAAAATGTACAACAGAACACATAAGGGATGCCATACTCTCCTGGAGTCATGATCCATCCAGCCCAGTGCTCTGATTCTGACTTCAACAATCTTCCTTCTATACCAGTGCCTCCTTCACTTTTTATTGGCTTAAGACGTTAAGTGGCGTGTGAATACTTAGGTTTTATTTGAATCAGGTTTATGTTTTTTTGCTATATTATTAAAAGTTAAAATTACAGTCATGTTAGATAATACTGTACTCAAATTATTTGGTACAAACGAATACCTGACATACTTTGCTTTTATTCCAGATGACTGGTATCTGAATTCCACTAAATGTATAGTGAGTATATTTCTCTATTTGAAATTAAAGTTGGACTTATTTAATTAAGGATTTGATTTACTGACAGATATCTTACTCTCTTTCAGGTTCAGATCTTTCTTCATGCTTAGCATTTGGTATTTCCAATAACTTGAACCAACAGAGATGCTAATAACAGATGCATGGACACCTTTTACTAACTTTCATATGCCCTAGAAACATACTATTCCATGTTAGAAGGATAGAAATCCAAAGAATTCTTATCTTTATTCCCTAACATTGCCTATCTCCAGCAATACTGCTGGTCAGTCCTATGTGTTTCCTAACATGCCAAAATCAAAGCCAAATGAAATGTTTTCTCCAGACTTTCTTACTCCTAATTTTAGAAATAAAAAATATATTTCTGAGATTTCAGTTTCTGTTAATGGTGGAATAAATAGCTTGATCATTTACAGGTAATAATGATGAAATCTGGACAATTTGAAAGTATTGGAGAATAACCAAAAGCAGGAAGAAACTGAATAAATCTAACCTTGAAAGACGTTGGGTGACATTTGTTTATAGATTTGTGCCTGAGGGCATTCTCCAATCTTGGGTCAAGTACCCAAACCAAAGGTGTCAGAGGATGGAGTTTGAAGCCAATAGAACACCCGGAAAATTAGAGGGAAAAATCTAGTAAAGGAATGACTATACATCTGAAGAAATAGGAAAATGTGATACTTAAGGGAAAAAAAGTCAATAGAAACAGACTCTGAGATGACCCAGATGTCACAATTAGCAGACGTTGACTTTAAAACAGCTTTTATAAATATGTTCAAAGACTTAAAGGAAGATATGCACACATTGAATTCACATAGTGGGAAATTTCAGCTGAGAAATAGGAACTATAAAAAAGACCAAATGGAAATTCCAAAGCTGCAAGCATGATAACTGGAATGGACAATTTACTGGATGGGCTTAACAGCAGATTGGAGACAACAGAAGAGAGGCAATGAACAGGAAGATCAATAGAAATTATCCAATCTGAAGAACAGAAAGAAAAGAATGAAAGAAAACACATATCTTGGGTGAAGGCAGGAAATAAAAGTAGGGCAGAATTGAAGTGAATGCTCAGTGCTAATAAATTCTAGCAATTAATTTTGCAAAGAAAAAATTGAAAAATAAATAAAACCTGGATTTTGAATGTCTAATCCTTGTAGTGTTTCTTCCAAGGGTGGGACAGGATGTATTATCTGATTTCAAAGCATTGTTTTTGTTGGTCTTCATAAGGCCGTTTCTGTCAAGTGGCTGTAAGACTCTTAGCTTTCAGTCTTCTTCTTTTTCTCCCTCATTCCTTCCAGGGGCTAATGGCCTTTTCCTTCTGTGTGCTGTGTTCAGGCGCCAGTTAATGATGGAATGGGAGACAACTTCTGACAGTGGACTAAGGCAAAGGAAGCATGTGGGATGGTCGTCATATACAGTTCCATTTTTAAGTGGTTTGCCTTGTGATGCATTCTCCTGTTGTATTCCAGTTTCACTGTAATTTTTGAGTTCTTGATATTTCCAATCATAGTGAATCATTTAGTTATTTTTAAGCACCAATCTTAAGAATCTGAATACAAAATACCGAATGATATTTCAAAATAAGCGTATTCTAATTATTGATCTCTCTAGACACAGTTCTTTTCTTTTGATTTACACTTTGTAGGTGTTTCACCAAAGCCAACAGCACTTTCAGCAGCAGCTCCCTTCCTGTGGTTCCAGTGGTAGCACCTTATCCTCAGGATGGTTTGGAAATGAAACCCCTCAGTCACATGAAGATACCTGTGTGTCTGGCTTCCACACTCCCCGACTGCAGCCAGTCACCTAAGGAGAGCATCAGGGATGATGTGGCACCAAGACCTGCTCAGCACACTTGCTGTCAGGACGATAGAAATGAGATCAACTCTGGCTGCACGGAAGACACAGCAGAGTTCAACCGAGGTACAGGGAGACATTATAAATCTTAAGTTTCAGGATAGTCTTCAGTTATCGAAGACCTGTATAAGCGAAGGTGATGCTTTCAGAGTGCTCTCTCTCTGATCAGCTCAAGTATTTCTTAGACACGGGGTGAGGGGTATTAGATACTTCCCAAAAAGTTGACTAAATAAAGGATTCTTTGAAATTCTGTTATTATTCATATGCTTCATCTCAGGCTGTTAATCCCATTAGATTTTGGGAAAATAAGTCCAAGTAGGCTTTGAGTGAGTTTGTGCCTGAACAGTAGACTTGCTAGAAGAATGCATTTTGTGGTCATAGGCCTCTTGTTCATTTGAGTTGATTCTGGAGTTGCAGCCTTGCTTGAAGGTTTTGGGGCTCTTCAGGGGTTTGCTTGCACCCTCAGATGAACTGTGTAACTGTTCACGAGAGCTCCGTTTTACTTTAAGCCTTTTAAACCTAACTGTCTCCCTCAAATCCACACCAGACATAACTGGGCTCTACTTTTACTTATTATTCTTTCTTTATTGCTCAATGTTTTTACACTGCTTTGTAAAAATCAGCCTTTATCATTTCATAATGCTCCAAAACCTTTGTGTTTTTCAGGAGACAGCTGTGTCCATTCAGAAACAGAGAACAGAATTTTAAGTTGGAATCCTCTTATTCTGCCACCTGTATCAAAGGACTGTACTGAAAAGACAACATGGTCTCCTCCTGGCATTCCTTTAGACAGCCCTTCAGGGGTCCTTCAGCAGCCCCCGGAATCCTGAGGGTGTGCAAATCACTAGTCGTGTTCCCGCTTCAAGCCAGTAACTGCACAAAACAGGCCTGGGAACGGACTATGTGAAGGACATTAATTCAAATCAGACAAAATCATTATTTATTTTTTTGTAGTAGTAATGTCATATGAATGTATCTTAAAATGTGTGCCCTTTTATATTATTTATGCGTTAAAATTTTCCCTCCCTATTCCTTCCTCCCACTCAGTAGGAAACAACCTAGTTTTGCATAGTTTTCAACCATCTGAGAGCAGTGAGATCATTCCATGTTTTCCAAGAACCTCAGTGACAGTAAGAGCTCCTCCTGCAGGGATCCAGCCTATTGGCTCATTCCGCTGAGAGGGAACTGCACACGCCATTTGAAGTTTTCAGATGAAAGCTGCCTTTCAATATCATGTTATACCTTCTGAGAACATTTTGAAACCAACCACAGTTGTAACCTGATGTTTATAATAGCAGATCTCATGAGTTTTATGAGTGCCTTCCACAAAAGTGATAGTTGACCTATTGACTCACTCTCTGTCTCTGTGTGGGCACGAGTTATGTTCAGTTTTCTAGATGCTAATCATAAACATTGTCATGGACAAGGGGGAGGTTAAGGTCTAGTTGGGTCATTGCAGTATGCAGAGAGGGAGCCAAGGCCAGAGAGAAAAAGAATGCCTTCAAGTCCTACTAATTCGAAATTGCATTGGTTTATAAAATGGTCAGCATGGGGCTCTTTTTGACTGTTTCTAAGAGGAGGAACAAAATAAGACTGAAGTGGTGACTTGAGAAGAAAGATCCACATTTGAAGAAGAGAGAGGGTTCCAGGGAGCCCTTGTTGGCAGGAGCTCTCCCATTAGTATAGGACGGTGCTCGTGGTGCCACACCACCCAAAAAGCATCAGTTTCTAACTTCCAACATGGGCAATACCTGGAAGATGTTAGTGTTAGAAAAGACTTAATTTAGAGGGAAAGAGGTATGGTTTGAAATGTCTTGACGATTTTTTGAGAATGTCCTCATTGTAAACAGGCCCCTAAAGCTTTGGTTAGCAGAGCTCGTCAGTCAGGTACTGCTGCCTCTGAGTGACAAGGACATTTGCAGCTGCTTTGGAAGGCTTTTCTTCCCCACGCTATCCATGTGTTTAATAGCTTGAGTCCAGCTTTAGTGGATCACTGCTCTCTTTTGGATTGTGCATCCCCTTTAGAAAAGAAACAAAATGATTCTCCTTATGTAGAGTCAAGCAGTTCCAGCATAAATGAAAAAATTTTACAGTTTGCCAGAAATTGCAGTGAAATAGACTGTGATACTATGTTAATCAACTTTCTATATAAATGCATCAGTATTCCCTTACATATGTCTATATATTTTATAAATAGAACTCTTAGTGAAATGCGCTGTTTATTCTGGGTCACTATGCAAGAATGACTTGAGTAGGATGCAGTGAATGTCGTTTCATAGTCGGGTGTTAGGGATGCTGTAGAATCAAGGTCCACATCCCAGATGTCCAAGCCTCTGCTATACTGGATTTATGCTTCATGTGGCTTAGATGCAATTAACTCTGGAGGGGATTGCTGCATCCCTTGCTTCTGTGACTAGCAAAGGACAAAGTCCGTGGACACAGAATATGAAAACATGCCCCGTGTTTGCCAGTCAAGTCACGGCAATGCTGTCACAAAGGGAGTTTTAGAAAACTGGGGCGTAAATGTTCGTAGGCAGTCATTTTCATTCAGGAAACAGAGGTGTATTAGCATGAGCCTTAGGTCATAAACTGCTTTTAAAGACTGAGTTTGAATGTGGGATTTGTCCACTAGGAAGAGAAAACAACTTTACCTTTAGGGCAATCTCATTGTGGACTGCTTTATTTATATTATTAGTAACGCTGTTTTAAGTGTTATCCCTTTTATTGTATTTTATTTATAAAAAAAGCCTTTATATATTGAGATATATAAATATAAATATATATATATAATTACCTTTGTGTGTAGGAGTTATGAGTTCTCCCTAACCGTGAGTTGTTCTGAACTTTTGTTTCCTGCACAGTCACCAGAAACAGTCCTGCCTAATGTCTCTTCACCAGAAAGTCAGAGGACATAGTACAGTGTGGGAGATAGCACTAACGTGTGGGGTCAGTGCTGTGTACCAGGCACCGTGCTCCGTGCATGTTACTGCCATCTCATTAACCCGCACAGCAGATCTACAAAGTAGGTGTCAAAGTCACACAGCCTCAAAGCATGAATTGGAACCCAGTTTATTGGGAGCCATAATCCGAGCTCCTTCCATTTTTCCGTACTGCTTTCCCTGAGCACTGTGGTTTGCTGTTTGGATGGAGCCAGTCCAGTTCCACATGCTCCTGTCCACCCTGCTGCGTGATTCCTCTGACGTGCTAACTCGACAACTAGAGGAACCGCCTTCTGTCCTACGTGGACAGGACTCTGTGCTTATTACTGGTCTTCCCGGAGTCCGCATTTCTCCCTGTGACCGTCCTCACCACCACCCCCGCCTGGGAATTTGATCTCTCGGCTTAGTGATCATGTAGTTGGTCAGGCCCCTTCATGTTCCTTCTCGCCTTGGAATTCTCTGTGATGGTTTTAGCGTTGCGCTTCCCCCACTCCTGTGATATCCTGTCACTCTCTGCTTTCTGTCCTCCTTTCGCTTATGCACTGATAGTCTGGTGCTAGGTGCCGTACAGGATGTAAGTGAAGTTGCAGTGTTTTGTACCTTTTAAAAAAGCCTTTCTCTCTGGGTTTTGTATTTGTGGATTGAGTCAGTGAAGACTAATACATCCATATTAGGCTGCTGATGTCGCAGATCTCACTGCAGCTACAGTACTGCCACGAAGTTCGTTTTGTCATTGAATTTCACCTGTGTTGCTCTCTTTTAAAGCAATAACTTTGAAAAGATGCATGTTCTTGTATCATATTGAAAAGTATGTTTTGTTTCCCGTAAAGTTGTAATATTATGTTTTGAAATTGTACATATTTTAAATGATGTAGCTCTGACAGCTTTTATTTGGTTTGTATGATTTTATATTAAAAGAGAATGCTGCTTTCATGTGGAGTAGCCCGTGAGGGTGGGAAGATGGGGATGCTCAGATACTCCCTGGCTGTCTAAAGCTGCTCATGGCTTGAGATGGGGATGGGTGTGTGTCTCACTCTGAAGTTCTTTGGAACCTCCACCCCTGTTGTCCCCTGAAAGTCCCCTATGCATGCCCAAGAGCCAAGAGAGTTAGTCCCTTCTGTTCTGCCTCCAGAGATCCTAGTCCTGAAGGAACAGGATCTAGGACAAGTCTTAGGGGGAGGCTGGGAAAAAGCCTGAGCCAAGGAGCTGTGCGGAAGCAGGCAGACCCCCTTAGGGATTCTTCCGGGATTTCTTTGGAGGGAAGGGAAGAGGATGGGAGGGAAGGATGAGGAGAATGGGGAGGACTGGTCGCTTCTCGCACGTCGTCTGTTTTACTGTTGACCAGGTGCAGCACCTGTGTGCACCCCAGCGTAGGACTTCAGCCTCCTCAAGAGGCAGCTTTGTTTTACTGCCCTAAAAAATCAAAGTGCACGTGCTGCTTTGACCAGAAAGCCAACAGGGTCTTTTGCATGGGGTGGGGCCTTGTTATATTTTCTTCCCCATATTTAAATAAGCCTTCATTAAACCTTAGCCCCAGTCCTGAGAGCTTTGAGGGAACTTGAAACCCCTTTCCTAATAAAGTCTAAATCTCTGAGAGCCTAAGAAGCAGTTTAAGTCTCTGTCAGCTTTCCGTCTCCTCTCAGGCGCCACTCTCCTTGTTCCTGGCAAGACCGTCCCTTGGCTCTCTTGCCTTTCCTTCTCCCCAGAGTCCGCTGCAGAGGCAGCTCTGCGTCCTGACTCTTCTAGTCAATTGAACAAACGTCTGTTTGTGTTTTACCCAGCTTTCAGACACACGCTAGGAGCCAGTGAGTCATGCTGGCAGCCCACAGAGTATGACTTGGGAACAGCCCCGTCCCCTGTCGGCCAGACCCCACAGGCCTGGTGGCAAGCAGCTGCGTCTGGACACCTCTGCCGTGTCTTGTTGCACAGACTCCTGGAGTCTGGCACACCGTGCGTCCCTTTGACCCTTGCAGACCCACCAAAGGTAGAAGAGAGACGAAGCCCCTGCGATCTGCACCGGCTCTGCTACCACCTGTGATTAACCTGGTCCTAGAATGGAAGTGTGTTCTTGGGGAAGGAATTAGAGATTTGGAAAGTAAAGAACTCCTAGAAGAGCACATCACTTGCTACAGTTGAATGAGGGGAACATGTGCTGACATATCTTGCTTCCCATCTCCTAGCTTCCTCCCAGTAGGAAAACCTGGGGCCCAGCTGAACCTGCGATCAACCTCTCCCTGTAGGAGCTGGAATTGAGATAACTCTCTGCTAGTGAGAACATCAAGTGTGATTTATTTCGAAATTGCTCAATTCACAGGCTTCGTCTGGAAGCAGCTGCCTTGCTCGTGCTGCCATAGCCCCAGGCGCGCTTCCCAGTGTCCTTGTTTTCATCGTCCCTGAGACACCCGGCCAGTCTTTTCCCCAGTGGTGTGTCTTCCTCATCCTTGCACCTCTAACTTCCACAAGCTGGGCTGAGACTTCTCTTGCAGCCAAGTCATTTAGAGGCACTGCAGCTGAGCCTTCCCTGGTCGTAAAGGCTGGGTAGGAAGTGGGGAGGGGTAGTTGGTGTCTTACCTACCTTAGTTTTAAGACCAAGTGTGACAGAGGGGACCTTTCTGTCCCCTACCTGACTCCCTCAAGCATATTGCACCATCGTCTTAGGGCCTCATGGTGTTGCAGTCACTGTGGTGGTGACGTTGACTGGAGCATCCGTGGATTCTTGTGCAGGACCCGAACTTGGGGTGGTGGGTGCTGTTTCAATGCCTGCAAAGAACAGACATGAGCAAAGGAGAGCGACGCCTTGGGGTGTCTCAGATTGTTCTCAGAGGACAAGAGAGACTGAGGATCACACATAAAACTGTTCTGATACAGGAGTAATTTCTTTGGGATAAAATCCAGCTTACCTGCCTGTGCCTCGGGACCTTCCCTTAAAGCCCTAATTTGATGACTTTGCTCCCTGAGGGTGAAGTGGGAGAGTAGTTAGTGACAACTATTCTTTCCCAGCCTTCCTTTCCAGTTAGAGGAGGATCGTGACCCCTAAAATGACGGGTTCCACACTCACGTGGGAACAAGCAGCTGACCAAGGCCTGTAAGCAGAAAAGGAAAAGGCACATTACTTGAGCAACCCAGGAGAATAACCCTCCCTTCTCTGACAGGCTCTGAACTAGAGACTCAGAAAGCCAGAATGGCGGACGCCAGATGCCTGGTTGGGGGTTGGAGCCCCAACAGACATCTAGCACTGGGGAGAGGTCACGGTGAGGGAAGAGCCCACGTTCCTTGCCTAGGGGAGGCCACATCTCACCTTGGGGTAGATCTAGAACTGGCCACCTTATAGGGTCAGCAACCCCACCCTGCAGCTTGCCACTCACGGGGGAAAGTCTCTGGGTGCCGGGCAGCATACTGGAACACCAGGAGAGAGGCCACCGTTGCCACCACCATTCCCGTGCCTGCTGCACCCAGCACTGCTGGATAGGCACTGAAGGGGGGGTCCGCTAGGAGGGGAGAACGCTGCTTGCATGGGGTAGGTTTAGAGGCGCCCCGGAACCTGGCAGTAGCGGCTTTTAGGTCCTAAGCAGGCTATCCTGCTCATCCGGTTCCCCCTCCACCTGAGGTGGGCCATCAAGAGCAAGGCTTGACCCAGAGCATCTGGGGAGCAGGTCTCTCAGGGAAAGAGCTCTCTGCATGCCTGGTGCTCTTGAGGTTCCGAGTCCCCTGCCAAGTCCCATATTTCTGGCCCAGACCAGTTATCTTGGCAGCATGGGGCTGAAGGGAAGAATGCCATAAATGAAGGAAATCCCAGGATGGAGAGAGAGCAGCAGGAAGCCCAGAACCCACCTGTGCCCCAGGAAGTGAGACTGAGGCACAGGGTTGGGCCCCTACCCTTATTTAATCACCAGCCCCTTGTTCCTGCCTCTTCCTGTTTCTTCTGCTTCAAGCTGAACTATGGCTCCTACCTTTAGACCTGGGGCCTCCGGAGCCTCCCAGGGAGTGATGGAAAGACAGCAGTGGAGATTACCTGAGGACCCCGAGGAGAGGGTGGAGGAGAGGACAGAGACTGGGGATGGAGGAATTCAGTAGGAAGGAAGCAAAGGAACAAAGTAGGGGATGCCCTGTGAAGAGGAAGATGACCAGGTTCAGTTTCGCGGAGAAGGGGTGAGTCCCTCCGTGGCGCTAGCCCCAGCACCTGGTATCTTCACCTCAGAGGGATATCCGGCTGTGCGGTGATTCAGAGCTAGGATGCGGAAGGCATAAAGGACCCCTGGGTCCAAGCCCCCCAGCCGCCGGCCTCTGCTCTCTGGCTCGATGTCACTAGCTGCCGTCTCCCAAGCCCCAGCTCCTGGGCCTGGGACCCTGGCCCTCCGCTGCACCAGGAAGCCCGTCCAGTTCCCAGGGCCGTCGATGGCCCACTGCAGCTGCACCTCCCTCCGGTGTCTCCCGTAGGTCAGGCGGCTGATGGTGACGTTGGGAGGAGCTGGATACCCTGGGGTGGGGTGGGGACACACGTGGGCTCATGCGTACCTACAACCATGCGTGGATGTGTGCCTGTGCACCCGCATCTGTTCCAATTTTGTTGAGAGAGAGCCGGTAGTGTGGAAAAGGCTCTAGACTGGGCTTTGTAGACTTGATCAGTTCTGTGTAGTTCTGGTCTATTTTGCCCTAGACTTACACTTCCGGGCCTCAGTTTCCTTATCTATAAACTGAGGAAAGGAGATTATTCTGACTGCATGGAGTAACGTTTGCCTGTATTCAAGAGAGCATCACATTCCTGCTCACACAGACCATCTGGGTTCCTGCTTTGAGGGCCTGTCTGTGCCTGAGGGAGCTGACGTGTCCAAATTTTGGAGCAGGGAATTCCTGTGCCTAAAGGGCCGTGGCTGAAGGTTTCCCCTCTCCCTCACCACACACACGCACACAACCCCTCACTCACTCAGGACCTCCAACAGGACACTCTGACTGCTGTTGCCCAAGGCGTTGAGGGCTACGCACTGGTAGGTGCCCCTGTGGCGTGCTGGGTCTGCGTCCCGGATTCTAAGGTGGAGCTGGGCACCCTCAGGGTGCAGCGTGTATCCAGAAGTGCCTGATTCCACCTGCCGTCGCTGGGGGCCCAGCCAGAGGAGCTGGGCAGGTGGCATGCCCCCCAGGAGGGCACACCCCAGCCAGGCCTCTCCCCCCTCCAGCACTGACACCTGGGGCTCAGCCACTGCCAGCTGTGGAGCTTCTGCAGGGACAGAGAGAGTGAGGCTGGAAGATGTCCCCTGCGCCCAGGCTCCGGGGAAGGCTTAGAGGTAAGGTGCTGGCCAGCGGTGGAGCGGATGGGAAGGGGAGTGGGGGGCAGCTGAGGGGCTGGGCCAGTCAGCCTCCTCTTTCAGGCTCTCATTCTATGCCAGAGTCCTGTCACAATCTGCTCCATGGTTTACTGATAATAGCAGTGTTCCTCCAGGCTCCTCTCCCACCTCACCGCAGTCTCAGCTCCTACAGACAGGGCTCCTGCCTCATTCACCTCTGCATTAAGCACCTCCCACACAGCCCCTGGCACAGGACCTCCTTCTCCCTAATGGCCCTCACCTCCCCACCCTGGGCACAGGGTGGGCCCATAGCAGGTGCTCAGTTTTTACGGACTGACTTCTAAAGACCCAGAGTTTCAGGTATCAGTGAATCTCCTGGGATGGAATTTCCAGCCCTGAGACTGAGTAATAAGGCAGGGAAATATTTCGGGTTGAGGGCCTCCCTAAAGCCGCTGGAAACATGCTGGTCACCAAGCCTTTGGAGACCAAGATGTAAATCATTTCGTGAGATCTGTTATACGCGACGGCTCCTCTGTTTGCTTTTCTCACATTTTTTTCCTTCAATATTTAACTCTTTTTTTTTCTTGAGTGGGCAATAAATAGGACTGGCAGGGCCAGATGGAGACAGGGAAAGAAACCAGACCAAAAACAAATAGAGGGAGTGAGAGAGGTAGAGAGACACCTCTGACACCTGAAACACTAACACAAGTCAGGAATAGAACCAGGCATCTCAAGCAAGGTGATGCAAATGCGGCAGTCAGAATCTGTCATTGTCTAGATGGGCACCATCCAATAATGAAAGCCCCCAGCCGCATGTGTCTGTGGAGCACTGGAAATGTGGCCAGTCTACACTGAGATGAGCTGTAATTGCAAATACACCAGATTTTGAAAACAGTGTGAAAAAAAAGAATATAAATATCTCATGAATAATTTTTTATTACATCTTGAAATGATAATATATGGAAAATATTGAGTTAAATAAAATGTTTCACTTATTTCTTTTTACTTTTTTTAATGTGGCTACTAGAAAATTTAAAATTATATATATGGTTCACCTTATATTTTTACTGGACAACACAGACCTAGTCCAAACTCCCTGATCTTACGGATCAAAAAAACTTGAGTCCCTGGGAGGTGAGGTGACTCAGTCTCTTGACTCACTTTGCATTCTAGCACAGCCGCCCCCCAGAGCCCGTCATCCTGCTTCCAAAGGGCTGCTCCTCCCACACCAGCCGCAGAACCGAGTCACCATCCCCCACTCACCCAGCTGGAGCCGGCAGTGAGGGTCAGGGACCCTGAGTGGGTGAGTGCCTCGGCAGGTGAACTCTCTGCCAGTCAGATCTTCCTGGGCCTGCAGGAGGTGGACGGCCAGCGAGGAGCTGCTGCCGCCCAGGGGCTGCTGCTGTCCATCAAGCCAGCTCAGCACGGCAGGGGGCTCACCTCCAGGCCACTCACACCTCAGCATGATGAACTGGTCTCTGATTGTGCCTGTGGTCCAGCAGGTGGGGCTCAAGAGGGGTTCCCCTGGATAGGAAATGATGGTTCGGCATGACCCAACAGGTGGAGGAATGGCTTGGCAGGCCTACCGCATATCTCGCTCCTTAATTTATTGCTTCACTAACTCATTCATCCCTGTACTCATTCATTCATTCATTCATTCACTCACTCATCATGTATTGAGGGCTGATCACGTACCAGAGAAACAGTGGGAACAGACACTAAGCAAACAATTACAACATAATTTGATGAGTGCTAGAGTATCGGTAGAAAGACAGACTCTAGAGGAGGAGGACTTTGCAGACAGGATGACATTTGAACTTGGTCTTGGTAGATGGGAGGGAGTTTCCAAGGCAGAGATAAAGCTAAAGGCACATTTCAAGACCAACATGCAATCGAGCCGTAGAAGTACAGTGCGAGGTTGAGGAGAGACTGCTGACCCTGGAGGCTGGGAGACAGGTAGGGCATCACAGGGCTCCAAGCCCGAATTGAGGAGGACAGGGCACAGTGCAGATGGAGACCAGGGCTGGAGTGGAGAGAAGGTGGGAGGTAAGGTCTGAGCTCAGTGCTGCCCACCTCCTTGTTAACATGGCAAGTCTCAGAGAGTTTGTGGTCTGGAGCTTCACCCCAGATCTGAGGGCCCCTCTAGGTGTCTCCTCTGGCCCCCACGACCCCTCTGCCTGGAGTGTCAGAGACCTGCTGCTTCCTGTGTCCACTCACAGAGCGTGATCCTGCAGAGGGCGGGCAGTGCCAGGGCTGGGTGCTGGCCAGTGCAGGTGAAGACACTGCTGTTGGGGAGCTCTGTGGCTGCACGACTCCAGGTGACATTGCTGGGGGCAGTGGGGCCAGTTCCCTGGGGCCCTTCCCACTGCAGCTGGGCAGCTGGAAGCCCCCCAGGCCAGGCACAGACAAAAGTCACAGCCCCAAGGGTGGGGAGCACAGCACAGGAGGGCCGCCCCTCAGGGGGATCTGCATGGGGAAGTGAGTGAGGATGGGGCTGGAGGCCGGGGCTGTTAAGGGTAAGGGAAGTAGGGACAAGTGGCGAGTGGGGAAAGATTGATCCCTCTGAGGGACTGGTGAGGAAAAGGCTGAGTCAAGGGGAGGGGATTATGGGGTAGGCAGGAGTTCAGAGTCCCTGGAGAATCCCAGAGAACACGCCGCCCCCCCCCCCCCCCCCCCCCCCCGCCCCCGCCCAGGGAAGCCCCCATCTCCTGTTCTCTTCATTGCCCCTGGACACTATGCCTCCCTGTCATTACTCTGCCCTTCTCTGTGCCTCAGTTCAGCCCCCAGGGCTATGGGAATAATTACTTGGGGAGGGAGCTATATAGGGTTTGGGGCTTCCCGTCTCCCTACCCCTTCCTGTGGATTTCTTAGCCTCTCCCCCGGGGCTCTGCAACTCTGTTTGGTTCCCCAGACCTCCCTCCCCCACCAATTTTGACACCACTTTCCACAAGGCACCTGGGGTCTGCCAGAGCACAGGCCTGTGGTGGCCCCTACCCACACACTCACAGTAGATGGTGAGCCGGACAGTGGTCTGTGTGCGGCTGTCCAGGCGGCTGTTGTGGGCCAGGCAGGTGTATAGGCCTGTGTGGGTGCGGCCAGCGCTGGCGATGATGTAGGTAGGCCCAGCGTGGACCTGAGTGTGGTCACGGAGCCACGCATAGTGACTAGGCGGGTTGGATGCAGCCAGGCAGTTCAGGGTCACCTCTTCCCTCTCACTGGCCCAAAAGCCTTCCTCAATGAAGCCCGGCGGCTCTACGGTGATCACAGGATTGTCTGGACCATCTGGAGGGCAAGGAAGTCTTGTCACACCGCTCCAATCTTCATTCCTTCATTCACTCATATAATCACTACTGAATTCATCCACCATTCAACAAGCATGTATTATGCACCAACTGTGCCAACCATTATGCTAGCCCCCAAGGAACTCAGAGCCCAGTGGCCAGAGCACAGTCTAAGTAGGTGATCAGAGTCCGGGGAGGTGAGCACCATAGGCTGTGGGAGCTCAGGAGGGCAGCTGTGACTCTGGGAGGCTTCCCTGAGGGACTGGCGGGCTGGGCTGAGGTAGGGGGACGGGCCAGAGTTGGCTAAGCAGAGGAGCGGCAGGGAGCCCAACCCTCCCAGTTTGCCCGCAATTGAGGGGTTTCCTGGAACTGGGCTGGTTGGTGCTCCTAGACTGGAGAGGGAAGAAAACAGAGTGGGAAGGTACCCTGAGCATGATCCCAGCAGCCAGCCCTTCGCAGCTCCTTGAGTCCCGACCTTTCCCTCTCTCCTAAGCCCCCACTCCCCCTGACTCCCAGAGAGGACTGAATTCCCTGCCTGCTTCCATTCTGCTCCCACCTCTTTCCCAAGAACTGCTCAACTGTCTGCTCCCCAGCCCTCAGTTTACAATTCCCACAAACCGCCTGCGACAAGACAGACAGGACGCCGTTAGTCCTTGCTCCTTAAATCCTCCAGACCGACACTGTCCAAGAGATATATACGAGCCACAGAGGTTTTAAATTTTCCAGTAGCCAAATCTTAAAGAGGAAAAATAAGCAAACCCAACCAAGCCAAAAAACACTAGTAGGTTTTAATAATATATTTTATTTAACCAAATACCCAGAATATTGTCATTTCAATGTATAATCAATATAAAGTTATTGACAAACTATTTTCTATATATTTTTTAGATGCTCTTGAAAGTCCAGTGTGCGTTTCACACTTGAGCCTGTCTCAAGTTTGACCAGCCACGTCTCAAGTGCTCGAAGCCATGCGAGTGTCTACCGCGCTGGACAGTGTGGCTCTAGACCGTCCTAGCCTCCTCTTTCACACAAACTTCTGATTTCTTTTTATTTGTAAAGTTAATTTTGTTTTTTAATTTTCAGAAGTTCATTAGCATTACATGTTCTCCTCTTTACTGAAATAACAGGTCTGGTCTTTCATCCACTTTTATATGAGGTTGCCGCTTCTTCCTCATTGGTTGTTTTGGTTCTTTGCATGGTCTAAAAAGTAATCCTTTGCTACAGGTGATCTAAAGACAAACTTCTGATTTCTACCTTCAGGCTCTCAGCCTCAGACTTGCGACCAACTTGCTGCCCTCTCTTCCCACCAGGGGCCTTCCACCCCATTTCCTCAGGGTTCACTTGGTCCCTGAAAGTCATTCGGGCTCAACCCAAAGACGGAATTTCTGGGCCACACCTAAAATTATGGGTAAAATTGTGACTATAAATGTATGCATGTTCCTGAGAAGAGGAGACCATGACCTTAAAAAACTTCAATCCCCTTGTACTGGAGCCTTTTGGGCCCCTGTGCCCTAGGTACAGTGCCCTGAGGCTCTTGCCTGTTGGAGCCTCTTGGAGATCTGGGGCCCTCCTGGGGATCCTGAGGTGTGTCAGGAAGCTGAGGGTGGGTGGGTAGGGGGGTGCCAGCCCTGACCCCCACCCCCAGTCTGACTCACAGATGACATCCAGGAAGGCTCCTTCACTGTTCAGCCGGTTGACAGCGTTGTGGGCACTGCACATGTACCAGCCCAGGTGTGTCCTGTTGACTGGGTCCAGGTGGAGAAGTCTCTTCGTGACCCCCACCAGCGCTTCCCAAGAGCCTTGGGGTGCCTGATGCTGCCAGGCAAAGGTCACGGGCTCGGTGCCCTCCCGCACTGCACACGTGGCCACCACGGAGGTCCCCTCCACTGGGGACGGGTCACTCAGCCGCACCTGAGGCTTCGAAACAGGCACTGGCCAGAGGAAGGAGAGGCCCTGTGTTTGTTATAGCAGACCCAGGCTGTGCCGGGCTGGGTGCAGCTGCCCAACCCTTGCTGGCTGGGGGCTGGCCTGCCCCCTATGCCCTGAAATATCCCCTCCTCGTGATCCCAGGTTTCCTCTCTCCCTGGAGGCAGGGCCCTGTAGAACCTGGGCCCAGAAGAATACACTGGGAAGCACACGCAAATAGAAGCAAAGCAGCATGCAAAGCAGCTCCAGTCAGCCAGGGTCCCGGCAAGGCTCCTCACCCAGCACGGCCAGAGCGAGGTAGGAGTAGGTGGCGTGGAGCTGGCCGCCGGCCACGTGCAGGGCCTGGCACAGGAAGTGGCCGCGGGCACCCTCCCGCAGCTCCCTCAGCACCAGGCTGCTGTTCTGCAGACTCACGGCCCCCAGAGCCGAGGCCCCGGCCTCCACCTTGGACTCTGCTCCATTGGTGACGGCCACAGGATGGGGAATCAGTGAGCCTAGGGGCGTGAAGCTCCAGAAGACCACCAGAGGGGCAGGCCGGGAGCCACAGGCCAGCTCCACAGAGCTGCCCCTCACTCCTTGGATGGATGCGGCCTCCTCTGCACTGGCTCCGAGGGTCGGATGGGGCTGCCCTGGGGACAGAGTGGCAAGGCAGGACGTCTGGGCTGTTCTGGGTTCTCCTGCTCCTCCTCCTCACCCAGAACTTCTGTTTTATTGTTCTGCAGACCCGGCCAACAGGACAGGGCTTGATGAAGACGGCATAAGCCCTTTTGCAGCTGGTGGGCAAGAGAGTTTCTGAGGGAGCCTGCGAGTTTCCTGTTTGGATGTGCTGTAGGAGTGGGCTGGGTGGGAGAATCCTTGACTGAGACCAGGGAAGGGACTGGAGTAGAGGTTCCCATCCTCGTGGGTCATCAGACCACGTGGAAAGCTTGAGAAAAATATAGATTCCTGGGGCTCATCCCAGACTACTGAGTCAGAATCCCCGGGGCAGGGGGCTGGGGGTCAGGAATCTGTAATTTTAACATGCATCCAGAAGTCAATCTGATGATCAGCCAGATGGTGACCCCTGAGACTCAGGAGATCTACACGGCCTCAGGCACTTCAGGCTCTGGAGGTTTCTGCGTAAGGATTCTGGGGGGATTCCAGACCCACGGCAGCAAAGGGAGGACGACCCCAGCCTGCCATCAGCCCATCCAGCACTCATTCATTCATCAACTGTTCATTACGGAGGGCCTGCTCCATGCCAGGCGCCCAGGTTACAGTGACAATGAGACGCCCCATCCCTGCTCTCACGGAGCTTTCAGTCTGTCAGACATTGAAAGTCATTATGGGGTGAGGCAGGCAAGAGGTGCTCTTTTCTGCTCAGGGCCTAGCACAAAGCACAGTGTCTGCCCGAGCACCATGGTCTGCTGCCCCTTGTGGCCAGGAGACTATAAAGAGCCTCAGCAAACTTATGAAAATAAATCTCGGAGGACGATAGAGCTACAGGAGTAATTCACACGGCTTCCACTTGCCAAGTGCCTCCTTTGTGCGGTGCCCTGTCCTGGACTCTTCACGTGCATCGCCTACTGACCTTAATTGCGGTAACACCCCCTGAGACTCTGAAACATGAAATCCCTTTGTCTAAAACCACACAGTAGGAGGTGGAGCTGGCATTGGAGCCCCGTTGAAGCTCCAGTCTCAGACGCTTCCCACTGCTACCAGCTTCTCCAGAGAGAGACAAGGAGAAGACAGGCATGGAGTCGGAGGAAGGGACAAAGGCAAAATTCCAGTGTTCAATTACCCAGACACCGATTCTTTGCAACCCCGTGGATGCTGATTTGGCCCAACTACCAGCATCTCTCACCTAGACTGTTGCGATGCTCTCTCAGCTGCTCTCAGCTCCTGAAAACCATCTGGCTTGGAGGAAACTTTCTGAAACCCAGACCTGACCACATCACTCCATGCGTCCAACCTGACAGTGGCCCTCGGGATAGCTTCCAGCTTTTTCAGGTGATTAATGTGGGATGCCCTCTGTGTTCCAGCCCTGCCTCCCCCACCTGGCATATAGTGGTTGCTCAGAGCATGCTGGCTAATGTCTAGCAGATGAACAAAGTTAATGGACTTCATTGAGTGGCTACTCAAGTGCAAAAGGAGGATCCCGAGGAAAAAAGAGGAAGAAATAATGAGAGGTGAGTGGGGAATGGGCCACCGTGGAGAGGTGGTCTGAGTATCACTCACCTGAGACCCCTCGATACAGAAGGCAGAGGGGTGTCAGCAGCAGGAGACTGACCCACCAGGGCCCCATCTCCCTGGGTGGCCTCCTGTCTGAGGCCTGTCTGACTCTCAGGCTCCCTCTCCCCAGGGCAAAGCCCAGCCCTGGAAGGACTCAGGTTGCCAACCTCAGCCCTTCTGACACTTCCACCCCCGCTCTCCTGTTACCCTCTCTGCTCCGATTAGGGGTGAATTATTTACCAGACGATTCATTCCATCCATTGCAGAGTTGGGGAGGGCAAGACCAGGCTGGGGCAGACCAAGGGGAGGACCCTGAGCTCCCTGCATTTTCATTTTAATGATATGATCAAATTAGAGAGTCACAGAGCAAAGGGCTGGAAAAGGCCCCAACCTCATCCAGCCCAACCATCTGCCCAGCGCAGGCCTCCTGCCTGCAGCCCTCCAGACCACAGGGGTCAGGAGATTCGGACGCACCTTTCAATGCCCTCTGGCCCCTCCCTGTTCTTCGTGTTTTGTTGGGAGAAGCTGCTGGAGTGGTGGAAGGAGCTCTGGAGTCAAACACCCCCAGGGTTTGGGTCTAACTGACAAACTGCGAAATGTTAGGAAATTTCTGAGCCTCTCTGAGCTTTGGCTTCTTCACAGACAAATGGGGATGATAACACTTTCTTTCTTGTAAAGATTATTGTGAATATTGAATGAAAAAACTTATATTAGCATCAGGGGTCTTCTTGGGTACTAGTACAGTCCTATTTCTTGACTTGGGTCACAGTTCATCAAGCTGCACATTCATGTTTTATATACTTTTATATACACTTGATAAAATTCACACACATGCACGCACGCACACGCACACGGATGAAGTGTCCAGCATGTAGGCAGTACACCATCAGTCATGCTCCTGGTTAGATCTGACCTACAAAGTCTACACCCTGCAGCTGGAATGGAGAGCAGCTTTCCTGCTGGTCAGGGCTCTCTGAATCCTGGCACTCTCCCTCTTTCTCTCAGCATGTCCTGCTGCCCTAGCTGTCTTTGAGTGAAGCCTGAGATAAGGTCAGAGTTTTCCATCCTCTGGGGGCAGGGTTGGGGGCAGGGTAAGATTCCTGAACCCCAGTGAGACGGGGGATCTGATATCTGGTGTCAGGTTCGTCACGGCTCAGCTGGGACAGGAGCTGTCAGAACTGAGTGCCAGGCAAGCTCCTCCTGGGCCCAGAGATGCTCACCATGGCACTCTCGGCCCTTCACTTGCCCTGGAACAGTGGACAGACCCTGTTCTACTCTCATTCAACCCATGGCCAAGGTCCCTCCATGCCCTCCTTGGGTCTTGAGCCCCCAGTCCCTTCTAACTCAGCTTTGAGCCGAATGGTAGATGGTCCCTGAGAGTCGGGCTCCCATGTGGTGAAGATGTCACATGTTCCCCTGACCCTACTGACCAGTCCATACGGCACACTCCTTTTGATCCCCTCACCCCAAACTGGGAATGTTTTCAGCACTCCATTAGACCTTCCTTTGGGAGCAAAGAATGGGGATCTGGGACTGCCATCTGCCTCAGAGTGGGCAGCAGGCCCTGGCTCTGGAGAAAATGTGAGAATCCCGCAGGGCGAGTCGGGAAGCCTTTGAAGGATGCTCTGGCCGGCAGCGAGGGCTTGTGTGCACCTGAAGTTCTCTATTCTGCTTGTGGGATTAGCCTCTTTTTCTTTCTCACTCAGAGCCATCAGGTCATGGATGACTTGGGGGGTTCTCCACAACCCACTCTGTCCCCTTAGTAAGGGAGACCCTGGAAGGAGGAGTCAGGGAATAAGGTGTATTACCCAGGATTCTCCAGAGAAACAGAACGAATAGGATGTGTGTATATATAGAAAGAGATTCATTATAAGGAATTGGCTCACATGATCATGGGGGCTGGCAAGTCCCGAGATCTTCAGTTGGCAAGCTGGAGACCTGGGAGAGCCCATGGCATAAGTTCGGGTCTGAAGGCTGGCAAGCCGGAGACCCAAGAAGAGCTGATGTTTCAGTTCGAGTCCAAAGGCAGAAAAAGACCGAAATCCTAGCTCAAAGCAGTCAGGCAGGAGGGGTTCCCTCTTATTTTGGGGAAGGTCAACCTTTTTGTTCTATCCAGGCCTTCAACTGATTGATGAGGCCCACCCTCACGAGTCGAGGGAGCGATCTGTTTTACTCAGTCCACTGATTCAAACGTTAGTCTCATCCAGAGACATCCTCACAGACACATCCAGAATAATGTTTGTCCAAATATCTGAGTACCCCGTGGCCCAGAGAAGTTGATATAAAGTTAACCATCACAGAGGCGAAGTGTGTCCTGCATCCTATGCCCTGGCTCTGCCAGACCAGGCCCCCCAGGGCAGAGCTGCAGCCCCTGTCTGGAAGGGACCAGGAGGCAGGACTGGAGTGGGATTGCTGGCTCGGGCTGCTGTCTCTGCTGCTGTGGGAGCTCAGTGGTCAGGGGAGACAAGGTGAGGGGACTTTCACTTTTGAGAGACTAGAGAGCACAGCGGTCAGAACACAGCTTTGCCTCTTTATTACTGTGGATCTTAGCATGTTGCTTATCCCCTCTGAGCTTAAGTTTCTTCATTTCTATAATCATTTTCCTGAGAAGAATAAATGAGTTTATGTACATATAGCACATACCTATTAAAATTACTTATGCCCCTTGACCCGAAGAATGTAAACAATTAATTCAACACACATTTCTTGAGCATCTACTAAGGTAAGGCACTGTGCTGTATATGGTAGGGCACCTTCCTTTCTCCTATCTGCTTTCTCGAGGAGCGTCTGCCAAGCCAGGGAAACCTGGTACTGTGCTTTGCTCTGGGTAGGCTCAGTGCCCAGGCCATGGGGCAGGTGCTGCAGGCTCCCAGGTCTGGGTGCCTGCTTTTCATCTTCCCCTCCTGCTCAGGCTTACTCCACCCTGACTGGGGGGACCCCATCCACAGCCCACCTTGGTCCCCAGGCCTCACATCAGCACCTCTATTCATTGCTCTGGGAGATCCTGGAGGGAGGGAGAGGAGACAGCGCGGAGTCAGGAGCAATGAGGGGTCAACCCTGGAGGGGTTTCTCAGCTAAACTATGAAAAGAGGTGTTTGGAAGGATAGACTCGAGCATCCAGACTCTTGAGTAGTTTGAGCTGAAATTCTGGAGAGCCAGGTAGAAGGCTCTGAATGGGGCAGTGGGCCCTCCCTTGCAGCACAGGAGGCACCTCCGCAGCCTTCTGGAGAGATGGCCCTGCAGCCTCTCCCACTGACCACCATTGGGTGGGCATTGCACTAGCTGCACGACCTTGGACAAGAAGCATAGCCTCTCTGAGCCTCCTCCTCCTCAACTCTAAAAGAACGTAATAATAGCTACCTCTTCAAGTTATCGGACAGGTAAGATGCAACCACACATGTCAAGCACCTAGCACACAGTAAGCTTTCAATAATTGTTCATTCTCACCCTCTTTCTCTTTAGGTTGAACTGGAATCTTCTTCCCTGGCACTTCTATCCTTGAGGTTGAGTTCTCCATTGAAGCTTTGCAAAATTATTCAAATCCCTCTTCCAACTGAAAGTCATCTAATATTTGCAACAGCATGTCCAGCCCTTCTCTTCTCTGCCTGAATAATAATTAGAGTTACCACTGATTGCCAGGCATGTGCTATGTGTGCTAGGCGTTTCCAACACTCCATGAGATAGTTCTGCTACCTGCATTTTACAGTGGGCTCAAATTCTCTCCACATTTCCCCCGATGACTTGATTTCCCACGCACCATGTTGCTCCCCACCTTTGGGCATCTCCAGTTTGTCCCATCCACCTGAGGCTGTGTTCACCCTGGGCTGGCCAGAGGCCTGTGGAACTGCTAACTTCCTGCTCTCTGATGAAAAGATTCAAAATTGTTCTCAGTTACTACTCTGTTAGAGTTTCGTTTGTCCGTCTGGTTAACGTTTATTTCCTGGCCACCGTGTACCAGGGCCTGTTCACTCTACTGCTTTCCTGGGCCCTCACCTGGCCCAGGAGGAAGGCTGGACAGAACTTAGTGTTCTGAGAGGAAATGGCAGCTCCATGGGGCTCCCCAGGTCTGTTGACAAGGCAGTGGTGTGGCTGCCACAAGCTCCCAGGTTTCTGGCCGCTGCTTACTTTCTGGGAGCCTTCTGCCTTCCTCTGGGCAGTGGCGTGTCAGACTGTGGTACTTGTTAAACTCAGGGTGAGATGTCTCTCGTCCCTGGCCTCTTCCTGCCTTGCACTCACGTCTCCGCTTCTCTGAGCCAACCAGCAGGCCCCTTCTTTTGTGCTGTGAGTTTTAACCCAGCTCTCCAGCCTGTTGCGACCATTTTGAATCCTGATTCTGAAACCCCAGGCTTTTAGAAGAATAGAATGTGGAAGGACAGGGACAGCTGGGCTGGAGCAGAGGAAGCAGATGCTCCTGGAAGTAAATGGCTTTTCCACGTGTGTCCATGTGTGCCTTGTCAGAGGCCAACCATAGGCCCTCAGGGACCCCAGCAGGAGATGAGCCAAGGGCTGGAGAGGAAATGGGCCAGAGGCTCTGCAGTCGACATGGCTCCCGCTGCGTTCATGGCTGAGAGGAGGAGGGGGGAGAGCAAGAGGGACAGAGGGCCCTGCAGGGGTCACCGCTTAGTCACTTTGTAAACTGCTCCTTGGAGACCGGAGAGGAAATGAATGAGGCCCTAGATGGAGGGGTGAAGAAAGGGAGCCCAACAGATCAGGAGAGGAAGGAAGGGGAGGCAGGGGTAGGCAGAGGCTGGGGTGTGATGGTGGAGGCCAGAGCCCCCCAGGGCCACAGGGAAGGAGGCCTGGTTTCCGTGCCAGCTCTGCCTGGTGATTAACCGTGCGTCCACCTGATTGACCGCTCCCGGAGTCCTTTCGCAGCCAGCCCTTCCCACCCGCCATGGGCAAGACGCCCCATTTCTCTGGGCCTCCGTTTCCTGATTGGTTAGGAATGTGATCATAAGGCTGTCCAGCCACTTCTCGGGTTGTTGTAGGAGCGGGTGGGTGGACAGGGAGGAGAGGACTGTGAAAAGCACAAACCGCTGTACGGAAACGGGGGTGTAGAGAGAGAGATCTTGG